ACTAGATTTGACACTCCAGAAATAAGTCAAACAATTAAAACATTAAGTCTTCACTTATGAATATGGCATCTAAATATGCCAGTAGTGAATATTTAATCCACAGGACCTTTAGTACCTTCTCCCAGTACCACAGTACCTTGCGCCATGTTCAATTTGATGATCACAAATATAGAAAATATTTAATTAAGATATCTGTTTTCATGAACCATATAAATGTTATGAATTGATTCGTAAGTAGGTTAAATATAGTTCATCTGGACTATATTTACTACTCTATTAGAAGCCACCAATTAATGGCCATTTAACCACTGCTGTTATTGTCTTTGATTTGTGAAGAAAGTCTTCCTCATTAATTAACTGATTTGGCAGTGGATGTATAGATGCATCATCCCAGTAAACACATAGATATTCAGGGAGAGGACAAGTGCAGTAATGCTGACAAATGCAAAAGGATGAGTGAAGATTAACAGTGTTGGACTGCCAGCAGGCAGTCCAGGAAGTCTGCCAGCTCTTAGCAGGTTGTAGTGGCTCTCAAGTGGTTCTCTTTCTAATCACGTGAGCCCGTCCATTCTTTGGATTTTTGTTTTGTTTTTTTTTTTTCGTTTTGCAGCAGTTAATCCCTCCTTGTGAAAATGAGAGCGCTCACACAGTGAGGAATGACAGACAAAAACAAATTCATCACAGCGAGTTGGTTTTTTTTTTTGTGTGGTTTACTGGGACTTTGAATCATTGCTGAAAAGGCACCATGGGGTGTTTAAATATTTCATCCAGTAATTAGCAGCCGTAATTAGTTTTCAGATGTAGGTTTCCCTGGCCCAGTGCTATCTATTCCAGAGTCCCCTGCCATATGTTGGTCAATGTGGGGACCCTTCGAGAAGCTCAGCTGTTAATTGCTACCCAGAGTGGAGAAACGATGGTGGAGGCGAGACTAAGGTCTGTTCTGGTATCCAGGCAACAGCTCCCTTACTCCTCCCTGACCACTACTGAATCTCAGCTTATTCCCATGCCCCGTCCCTTCATTCACTGCGCCCTTCCTTCCTTCCATCCATCCTTCCATCAGCCCCCACCCCACCCAAACCCAGCCAGCCAGCTTATTGCACTAGCCACCACCACCACTAATGGACAGTGCCATGCCATATAAATGAACGAAAATGATTCTGTTCTTCTGAAAGTAAAATAAATAATAATAGTTGAATCAGTAACCTAGCTGAATGTAAATCAGCTGATGAGACGCTGTAATGGTGTGGCTTTATCTTGAAATATTAAGCCAGGTCTCTAGTATATGCTAGTATGATTGAAAAAACAATTTTGGAGGTTTTGCATGTTTTAGCCCATTAATAACTCATGTATAACTATAACTTTACATTACTACCAATCATGAGTCAAAGCATAGGTGTTTACGTCGAATGTTTGTCAATGTGTTGTTAATTTCCTCTATCTCTGTGTCAGAATCATGTCACTGTTTCCTGTAATGCAGTTCTCAGTGATGCTATTCCTGTTTGTTGCGTTCAAGTGCGTGTAGGAATATTTGAAACCCAACATTTAAGAGTCAGCTGCTGTACAGCATCACATCCACAAACCGAAAATCAAACCAGAAGAAAGACAGATGATAAGAATACTGTGAATTTAATAGTTTCTTGCATTATGAAATGCCTTTATAATGCAAGAAACCCACCTTAATGTCAGAGGGAAGTCTGTTGAAGAACCTCTGGACGACAACAGAGAAAAACTGTCACCTTTTTTAGTTTTGAGTTTGGGCTAAAACATGGAAAAGCACTTGTACAGGCTCTTCAGCCAGTATACCAATGTTAACCGGACAGTGTTTTTTACTCCGCAGTTCCCCGGCGTGAGTCAAAGGGTAACTACATTTTAGTGGCCAATGTCTAGAGACTAGTCTGTTGTTGTAGGACAAGGCTAGTGGTGTGTTGTCATCAGATGAGCATTAGCAAAACCAAAAAAATCAAGGCTTGTGCTTTTGCAATTGCATGGATTTCACAGTCGCATCTTGATTCCTTGTTTAACATAGTAAATATTCAGTCTGCCTCTCGCACACCTAAACAGATTTTCTTTGGCCGGTGGCTGTCGAGCCGACACCTAACGGCCGTGACGAAGAGAACTGATGGAAATCTGGTCAGGTGTGAGAGAAGCAGCCGCAAGGAAACAAGCTGAGACTCAAGGTCCAGTCTGTGTCATTGATGGATATTGACATCATGTCGGTGTTGTGTGTTTTCTCTGTGTCAAATCCCCCCCCCCCCCCCCCCCCCCCCCCCCCCCCCCCTCCCACAAGTGTCCCAGTGTTTTGTGTTTGAGATCCTGCAGTAGTGGGTGTGTTTTCAGACCCAGCTCTACATGAGCTCAGCATGCCTGTTTCTGATGTTTCTGTGAGTGAACTGGCTGCAGCAACAGAATAAACAGACAAACTGAACTGGGTTTTGGCTAAGTAGTTAGCGTCATACATATTGTTTAGCTGATTTTGCTCGTGGAGTAGAATACCCTTTTTTCCTGTTAGCATTGTTTTTCTAGTGAATTAAACCTTTTTTACACTTGCAGCATTTCGCATCCATTGTTGAATTATAACGGATGCAAAGTGGGAGCAGGTGCTGATCAGTGTTTCTTTTTAAACTTGCAGTTAAACCAGCAACTTCCTCAAGAGTGGCTCTGATTTGATCCTGTCGTAGCTAATCTGTAAATTTAATGATGAAACTTTAAATCCTCTGTTACACTGATCTCTGTGGTTTCGAAGGTTTCCAAGTCTATTGCACCGACCACACCCATTGTCAGCCATGTGGTGTGTTGCACTTGATACCACAACGCAAAAATGCAAGTGTTTTGCAAAATGATAATCTCAACAAAAGCAGAATTTTCAGCCTGTGTTTCATCACGTTGTAATACCCAGGTAGTCAGTTTACCTCCTGTGCTTGTGTGAACTAGCATGTGTCGCTGTTTGTGGTTTCATTTTGCACTGGCTGACGCTGGAAGTATTTCAGCGCCATGCAAACTGAAATCCAGGTTTATGGTTGTGGTGCTGTTTCAAGCCTGTTGGTCCATTAGCTGTGATTTGTAATCGCGAGTAGAAACGTCACATTTTATAGCCTAGTTTTGTGTCCCAGAGAGCACTTTTGGTAACTTCGTGTTACTTATTTCTGGCTTTTCTAAATGTGTGCTTCCACTTTCTAAACTTAAACCTGAACCACGAGGAACTGAATCCTCAGAACGGTCGAAGGCACTGACCTCTTCTGGGATTGTTCCTCAGTGTTTGCAGCCAACAAACTTTTACATTCACTCTGTTTATGGCACATGCATGGACCACATCTTCCTCACCATTCACTACAACACTACCCATAATGCATGAGCGCTGTTGCTTCCTGCCAGAGTCAGGGCAGTCAGGCGAATACTGCAACTCCTGTAGAGGAACAGACGAGAATATTAATGAGAATAAAAAGGCAGTGAAATAATCAAAACGTTGGTGCTCTGCAGAAAATGAAGCTAATGTAGGTGCAGACGACAGGACACGTTCAGATAAAGAGCTTTCTCTTTGACCACTTATCTCTTTCCTCACTCTGCCATTTCTCGAGTCATTTATCAGTCGACCTCTGTGAGCCCCCTTTATTTAAGTTCTCCCTCTTTCCCGTTCTCTACCCTTGTTCTTCCTCTGTGCATTTATCTCTTTCTCTCTCTCTCTCTCTCTCTCTCTCTCTCTCTCTCTCTCTCTCTCTCTCTCTCTCTCTCTCTGTGTGCTCTGTTTCATTCAGTCCCTTCTTCACTCGACCCATCCATCACTCTGCCTGTCGTGCAGTGGCACTAACAAGTGATGGCTCAGAGACACAGTTTGAAACTGAAACCCTCTCATTACCTGGGACTCTCTCAGTGGTTCTCAGCCTGGCTGGGTCGTGGATAACTGATGCCACGACATTTGATGGTTGACATTAGCGCTGCAACTAACAATTATTCTTATTCTAATTCTTATTCTTATTTGACAATTATTTTCTTGATTAATTAAACATCACAACCCCAGGATCCCACGGTACTGTCATCAAATGTAATGTTTTATTTCACGAGCAGAACAAAACTCAGAGACAGTCAGTTTACTGAATATATACTATAAGACAAAGACAAACAGAAGTATCACAATTGAAAAGCTGGAATAATTAGATGTTTTATATTTCAATTAAGCAATCAATCAACTATCAAAATAGCGATTCCTTTTCTGTCTATCCACTAATCAATTAATTGACAAATTGTTGCAGCTCTAGTTGACATGTGTTTATTGTGAAAAGTTTTTGGTTGCTTAAAAAATCAATTTAAAACTTGAGGTGACCACCAGGGTCAGAATATGTAATCCAATCTGTAGATAAAGTATTATAAGTATTATTTGATAAAGGCATTTTATTCTATTCTATTTGTATTTGATATTAGCATTTGAGGACCTAGGCTCGGCTCTCTAATGTTTCTCCACAGCTCAGCAGCTGAGAACCACTGATCACTTCAGGCCCTTGCTGAGTCTTTTACAACAGTTGAACCTGGTTTATCCAAACATGAAAACCACAGACTTCCAAACTTAAATCAGCAAAGTGGAAACTTTCCCTGTTGTTTGTCCATAACCTCTCAATTCTCCTTGTTGACATGTGCATCTAAATGTCAAATTAGACTGCACAGGTCACTCCATCAAGCTTTGTGTGTGTTTGTTTTCATGTCTTGAAAACGCCTCCGGTCTGGAAACTTCACTAAATGTCAGTGGTGTCAGTATTTCATTCACCCCTCGGACCTCTCCCCATATCCTGGGCCGAGATAAACCAGTTTTCACTGTAAAGCACTAAATGTTTCCCTGGCGATGACCACACATCTCTAACATGCCTGACCATGAGGAAAGAAAATGTTAGAATAAAGGAAATAAAATCAGTCAGAAATGCTGAAATAAACAAATAAAGAGCCTAGGTGTGTGCTTAACCATATTTTTTGTTTTGACTTTCCTCACCTCTTCGTCTCCTCTTCCTTTCCAGGCATGCGGCGACCCCAAGGCTAAGCCCTCCTATCTCGTTGATAAGAACCTGGAGTCTGCGGTTAAATTTATCGTCAGGAAGTTCCCTGCTGTGGAGACACGCAATAATAACGTAAGTATGCCTGCATGTATGTCTGCAACGTGTTAGTGTTTGTACAGTTTAGAGAGGAAGAGAATGAGTGTCGGCTGTGAGTGATTTTTCTTGGCGATATCTTCAAATTTTAAAAAATAGGCCGTAGGTTTCTTTTTTTTTTACACCTAGTACCTGGAAGATTGTTGTATTTGACCTCAGCTACACTAAAAAGGTCTAAAGGGTTTATCTGAGCATGATGGAAAATGTATAGAAAAATAATTTGTACAACATACATGATATTATTTTAAGGTTGCAAATTACACAATAGATATTGTCAGGATGTCATGTAATGTCAGGATGTTTGTGTGGGATTCAGTTGAGGGCTGCAACTAATGATTATTTTCATTATAGATGAATCTCTTGATCATTTTCTTGATTGATCATTAATCTTTTAGTCTTTTAAAACTTCAGAAAACGGGAAAAAACATCCATTACTGTATCCTACACCACAGGGCAACGTCATTATGTTGCTTGTTTTGTCCGACCAGCCGTCTAAAACCTAAATAAATCACTTTATTATAATGTAAGACCAGGAAAAACAACAAGTCCTCACAGTTAAGAAGCTGGAACCGTTAAATCTTGGGCATTTCTTTTCTTGAGAAAATTACTTAAACAATAAATCAACAATCAAAGTGGTTTTCAGTTAATTTCCTTTTGACTGACGGATCAATTAATCAATTAATCTTTCCCGTTTTGATTCAGTTAACAAAATATGTTCTGTAATTGCTGTATAACTTGGCAGTGGAAAATGTAAAAACAACAGCAGCTACTAATCAATCACAATATTTAGTATTATTCAGTTAAGTGATCAATCATGTTAAATGTGACAAAGAACCCAAAGTGATGCCTTAACATTTAATTAGCCTCACTAACTGAAATACTTAAAATATATAATTTATATAGAGCAGAAGAAACTTTTCTCATCTCTGGAGCTCTTACCTGCAAGTGTTTGACAGAAATGTTAATTAACTGATCGAATCACATCAAAACACTTCACTGCCAGATCATCTTTTTTGAAGAGTTAGATTCATTAGTATTTCCTGTTCAGTTTTTATTTCTGTGCACAGATAAACATGTGCACCACTGTTTGCTGTCCTTGGACAGTTTTGACATCTTTTTATAAGTGAATGCTTTTAACAAAACTGTGATTGTAGTTTTGAGTGTGTGTTGGTGTGTGTGTGTGTGTGTGTGTGTGTGTCCAGGTAGAAAGAGTGAACTAAACGGAGTCATTGCTCATCAAATGTTTCTTTCAGCTTTACTTGTTAGCTTAGCTCGAAGCTTCTGTGTTTATGTGAAACTGTCATTTAGCAAACAGCTCTGTGTGTGTGTGTGTGTGTGTGTGTGTGTGTGTGTGTGTGTGTGTGTGTGTGTGTGTGTGTGTGTGTGCGTGTGCGGGTGTGCGTGTGCGTGTGTGTGTGTCTGTCTTTCATATAACAGAGATATCTGTGTGTGTGTGTGTGTGTGTGTGTGTGCGTGTGTGTGTGTGTGTGTGTGTGTGTGTGTGTGTGTGTGTGTGTGTTTGTGTGTTTGTGTCTAGCTAACTGCTTTATTCAGTGTAACTGTGCAGAAATTGTCTCTTACGTTGTTTTCTGCTTTGTTTCTGTGTTTGTTTGTGTTCTGCATGCTAAACTTGGCTTATTCCGGACTTGTGCTTTTTGGTAAGTTTTTGTATCTAAGTTTCTGTAACTTTTTGTATTTTAGTTCACGTACTTAAGTTTTGCAATAATGTAATTTTTTGTACCTGTTTTTTAAGCTGTGTTTGGAGTGTGTTTTGCTTTGCTCTGCCTCCTCCTCTCTCTCCTCTCTGCTGGCAGCGTTTTTACTTTTCTTTCCTTCATCCTCTGAGTGACTGTGTGGCTGGTTAACGACCAGGTTTTTGCCGGCTGGCTGGTTGGTTAGCTGGCTTGATGACCAACTGGCTGGCTGTTTGAATAACTAGCTGCCTGCCCGCACTAAGGAGTATTTGAAAGAGTGGATACACTAATCTGCTGTGTCTGTCAGTTGACTGTATTTCTGACCATTGTCTGGACATCTCTGCCTCTGTCAGTGAGCAGTGACAAAATCCACCGTACAGGCGAATTGGCCACTACAAAAATGGGTTAACCACCAGGTAACAAAGGCTTCAACTCCTTGGTGCAGCAGCAGTGTCACACACTTCTTCTACACTTGTCATTTCTTACACTTTTTTCCACTTTAGTGGGTAGACTAGCTCTGGTTCAGGCTGCAGTTCTGCTTTTGGGCTGGGTTTGATTTACATGCAGTATGCCTCTGTCATGTAAACAGAAACTGCTTTCACATTGCTTATTTGACTTATGTACATATTGTAGCCTGGTAAAAGACTGATGTGACAGTCTTTTAGAGCAAGAAGAAAGCACAGAATCCTCTTCTGAACTTCTCTAGATATCAACAAGCGCAGAAAGAGGTTTTGCCTTTTGGTGCTTTCACTGAATTTCTCATCTCACTTCTTTCTTTGAATTCTAACCTTGAAAAACATATTCAGGACACCGGTGGGTGGACCGTTTCGCTTTGCTTTGATAGTCAGATTTTACTTTGGTCAAGCATTTTTATTCTTTTTGCACAATTCTTTGCAGCTGGGACATTAAACTTCAAACACAAGCTGCTTGGAAGCTGGGAAAAAAAAAAAAAAGAAATCAAATAAGCAAATGAAAAAAGAAATCTTAATTAAACATAACTGAAGAATGTCACTGCATTTATGCCACATGGACAATATTCACATACACATGACGGAAATGTTTTACCAAAGTAAAGCGACTGCATATTTGAGTTTTTAAAATGGGATCTGTGTGTCTCCCAGTTTGTGTTAATGAAAGAAAAGTTTTCCTAGCTCCACGGTCAATGAATTATTCAGTGACAGCCAGTTTGTCAGTTTGGTGTTAATTCAGTCAAAATTAAAGAGAAACTCTCATTCATTTGAACCAGACATGATGAACTCTATTGATCCCTGAAGGGAAACTTAGTAATTGGACATTTTTAGACCAGATGAATGACAGATATCCAGATATGTCTCACTCCATTTTTTAAGAAATGTAACGTGAGGGGGGAAAAAAAAAAAAAACTTAGTGGGTTGAACGCAGCCTGAGTTTATTTGAGAAGACTCGTGAGGTGAAAAAAATCTTTTGAGTTAGTAAATTTGACACAGCAGTTGTTAATTAGTTGAATATTTATTTAGTCATTGTAACATACATATGAAGCGTTTCTGCTACAGAATCAAACCAGACTGAGGGAGGACAGTCATTGGGCGGAGGAGCCTCATTTTTAGGACAAAAACTTTCCTACAGAAAACAAAAAGAGAAATAAAGGAAATGACAAGAGGCTGTGTTTGTCACACACTTATACTCTGACGTGGGGTTTTACAGCAACAGCTGGCTCAGCTGCAGAAGGAGAAGTCAGAGATCCTGAAGAACCTGGCTCTCTACTATTTCACCTTTGTAGATGTCATGGAATTCAAGGTAAGAAAACACACACACACACACACACACACACACACACACACACACACACACACACACACACACACACTGACAGTTTACTGTGAAGGAATTTATGCTGCTGAATCTAATGAATGTTTTTGATGTGGACTCAACAGGACCATGTGTGTGAGCTGCTGAACACTATCGACGCCTGCCAGGTCTTCTTTGATATTGTAAGTACAATACCCAAACACACTCAGTGTCCATATTATTAGGTACATCTGTACAATCTGATGCGATCCAATACGAAAGCTCAGCCATAAATCCTGCCTTTACTAAGATAATAATGTTGACGCTGTCAATTTAATTATATGTTAATGACTGAGGTTGCAGTGTTTCTAATGATTTAGCTGCAACATTTACAAACAGGAGGAAGGAAAAGAATATTAGAAACATATATTTATAATGCAGCCCATTACAACACCAGCACTAAACATTACAATGTAAAATTTGTGGCCGATCTGTTGTACTGGATTGGATGAAGTTGTAGCCAGGAGTGTGTTTCAACCAGTTTGTTGCTCCTCTTTAAGAACACCTTGTCACCTCATTACAAGTAAAGAGGTTTGCCAAGATTAATACAAAAAAATGTTTTTATCCAAAAAGAACAAAATGACAAACTTGGTATTAAAGAGTTTTGTTGTAGCCATAAAAGAAATACTTCATATTCCCTTGTTCCTAATCTTTGCAATGCTTGATGCTGGTTACCTGTAATGTTAACCCACAACAGTGTAAAGGTAAATACAGGTTGACCCGTGATTTAAAAAAATGGCTTATTGTTTGTTTGTTTGTTTTTTGTTTGTTTGTTTCCTGCCAGACGGTGAACTTTGACCTGACCAGGAACTACCTGGACCTGGTGGTGACTTACACCACTCTGATGATAATACTGTCTCGCATAGAGGAGAGGAAAGCCATCATAGGACTGTACAACTACGCCCACGAGATGACACATGGAGCCAGGTGAATAAAACACACGGGCGCAGAGGTGTTTGCTCAGTGTACACGCAAATAAAAACAAGTGTGGCTTAGTAAATCGCTCTTAATGCCTACGAGAAATTGTTAACTCTGTACCGCACTGCGTGTGTTGCAGCGACCGGGAGTACCCCAGGTTGGGCCAGATGATTGTGGATTATGAAAACCCTTTGAAGAAGATGATGGAGGAGTTTGTTCCACACGGAAAGGTAGGAGAAGCAGAACTGTGCTGGTGTTAATTAAGCAGTTTTAATATTCAATGTTAAATATGCAGTGTGCAAACAAAACAAAACATTGGACTTTTTGGGGGGATTTTTTTCTTCATTGTTTTTACACATCCCCCTTCCTCTGTTAACACAGACTGTCTCATTAAAATAGCACAGAGTAAACTTCTAAAGTAGCTCTGCATGTTTACAGTCTGATGTCCCATGTGTGCAACAGATATGATCTTGTTAAAAAAAAAAAAAATTGAGGCACAGTTGCCATGGCAGCCCAAGTGCCACGTTTAGCTCAGTCATTTCCTGCTCTTCATCTGGGGGCTGAAATATCAACTGAAATATACAATCTTACAACGTAAGATTAAAAGGTAAAAACCTTAATTCCACTGAAACAATACTGCAGCAGTTGTTGCTTTGATAACTTCGCAAATGAAGTTGGATCATGTTGCATGACAGGGACGTATGCTGAGGAGTTTTCACGCAGCGCAAGTGATGCATGCTTTTTTTTTTATTTTAATTTATTTATTTTTATTCATCTTTCAAGTGTATTTCTGTTGGACCTCTTTCATCTCTCTCTCCTCCTGTCTCTCCTCTCCTGCAGTCGCTGTCAGATGCGCTGATCAGTCTTCAGATGGTCTACCCCAGGAGGAATCTGTCCGCTGACCAATGGAGGAACGCCCAGCTGCTCTCTCTCATCTCTGCCCCCTCCACCATGCTCAACCCCGCTCAGTCAGACACTGTTAGTGCGACGACTGCATTGAAATTATTCATGAATTATTTAGTCTAAGAAGGCGTTTTAAATGTTTCATTCATCAGGAAATTGTTTTGATGTTAAATTGTCTTACTTACTCAGATTTTTAATTAATGCACCCGCACCTGCATAATGCTTGTGCTTGATGCTATAGCTCTGCTTCTCTATGCAAATAGTTCAACTGGAAAAGCTTAAAAGCAGCTGCAGCATCACGTCCCGATGTTCTGATCCTTCCTGTCTTTTCCCTCACTCTCTTCTCGTGTCTCCGTCTTCAGATGCCGTGTGAATATCTGTCACTGGACACGATGGAGAAGTGGATTGTTTGTGAGTTGCTGCAGAAAACTTTTTGTCCTTCATCTGAATGGATTTCCAGTTGATCAAATGGCTTCTGTCTTCACTTATTCACCCGTCTGTCTGTGGTCTCTCTCTCTCTCTCTCTCCAGTTGGTTTCATCCTGTGTCATGCAGTGCTGAACAGCGACGCAGCAGCGTTGTCTCTGTGGAAGTTGGCTCTGCAAAGCTCCACCTGCCTCTGCCTGTTCAGGGATGAAGTCTTCCACATCCACAAGGCCGCAGAGGATCTGTTTGTGAACATCAGAGGGTAAGAGCGTCGACCTGTGTGGATACAGACCAACACAAACAAGTGCTCAAATGTTTTTAGTTTGCAGCATTTTACAGGTTTTCTTAGTTGAATATCTTGAGTGTTGGTCAGAATTTAAATTTGAAGATTTGGGCTTGTGAGCTTTGTATTTTTCTGCCGCTCTTTGAACGCACCCTTTCTTCTTGTGTTTTTTTTTTTCATCCAGGTACAACAAACGCATCAACGACATCAGAGAGTGCAAAGAGCAGGCCCTGTCTCACGCGTACGGACATAATCTAATCCCTTCATCATATCCCAACTGGAATTTTCATCCCATCTTTTATCGCTTTAATTCAGCGCCCAGATTTCTAGTTTTCTGAATTTATTTTCCTGCTTTCCTTTTTTAACCGTCTTTTTATCTTTGCTTCTACCTTCATGTGTCTCTCTCTCAGGGAGGCTCACACAGACAGTTCACCTTCTCCCTCCCTTTATCCCTCATTCAGTTTTTTTTTCCCTGTGTTATCCTCCCCTCTTTGTCTCCCCCTCCGTCTCATCTCTGCTTTTATCCTCATTACTTATTCCATCTTCCCCTTTCATCTTCTTTCTCATCCCTCTGCCGTCACTGTTTTGTCCTCTTGTCTCTTGATTGTCCTGAAAGTGTCAAAATACCATTTAATCTTTCAGTTTGTGTGTTTTGATGCTCGGCTCTGACTCCCTCCGTCTGCCTGGCTCTCTGCAGGGGCTCCATGCACAGAGAGAGACGCAAGTTCCTCAGATCAGCTCTGAAGGAGTTGGCTACTGTTTTAGCCGATCAGCCTGGACTGCTGGGTCCTAAGGTAATACAAAGTACCATCTTAAGCAGTAAAATACCACCTTAAATAATGCCAATTAGTGAGTTTATTGACTTAAATATCGCAATACAAAAAACTTAATATGATCAGATCTGAACACACAAGTGTTTCAGTTCAGCTGTAAAGGAGATGCTGTTATGGCTGAAAAGCTTTGATTATTGTGACCTAATATATCAAATAAAACCACCTTAAAACACTATCATATGCCACCTTAAGTAGGTTTGGCTCCCAAGGAGTTGGCTACTGTTTTAACTGACCCACACTTAAGTAATACATCCATTTCCCTTTTATTAAAACATTGTTTCAACAATAGATGCAAACAGCATAAACTGATTAAGACAACTAGCACATGCTGCAGAAGAGAATCCACTTTAATACCACCTTTTAAACATGAAAGATTTCAATTTAAATTCCCCGTATATTTTGACTCCTCTCTCTTCTGTGGTGAATATGACTTATAACGCCGTTTTTAAAACACTGAAATACCACCTTAAATAATGCTACATATATTTCACAGCTTATTAGAACAGTAGAATTTTACCACCTTAAAAAGCCCTGTTAATTTCTTTGGCCCGATGGAGACTTTCATAAATCTATAACAGAATATCACTGCGAAGCCAGACTCACTCTGTAAACATTTTGCATATGTGGCTCAGAGACCGTGAGGATGCAGCTGCTGCCAACTGCTCTTGGTAATTTATCTGAGAATTATTTATCTTGTGGGAGGTTGTTCCCTCTCTTTAAATCTCTCTCTCTCTCTCTCTCCTTCCTTCCATGTTTCTCTGTTTCTCCTGCTAGGCGTTATTTGTGTTCATGGCCTTGTCCTTTGCCCGGGACGAGATCATCTGGCTGCTTCGACACGCAGACAACATCCAGAAGAAAAGCACAGACGACTTCATAGACAAGTACGTGCACATACACTCCTGAATGAACATACGCATTGATGGAGCAAGTGCAGGTTCACACCTGTATGAATGCGGTCACTGCTTCCTTCGCTTGTGTTGTACTCGGCTGCTCGTGTTGCTCCAGTCGTCAGTTTGTTTGTGTGTGTGTGTTTTACAGACACATAGCAGAGTTGATCTTCTACATGGAGGAGCTCAGAGCTCATGTCAGGAAGTACGGCCCCGTGATGCAGCGATACTACGTCCAGTACCTTTCTGGCTTCGATGCCGTGGTGCTGAATGAACTGGTGCAGGTATGAACGCACGTGCGCGCACACACACACACACACACACACACACACACACACACACACACACGGCTCCAAACACCACCAAAGATAAAATACAATACAGCCTTATTTTTCACCTTCTGGAGATTTGTAATGGAGACGAAAGTAAAGTAGTTAATAAGGATATTTTAAAAACGATGAACAGACTTTCTGACTGTGCTAGAAATGATGTATTTAAATTAAAAAAAGCAGCTGTCTGAAATGCAGTGTTGTAATGCAATGTAAATGTGTTTTTGATCATTGCTTCACTGGCTTTATTAAGCATCATTGTCACTGTCAATAAAGCTAGGTTGATGGTTAAAGTCTGCCTTGATGCTGTATCAGTAATGTTTTTGTCACTGGCTGAAAGCTGAACCTGTAAGACTGTAATAATAAACATTTTCCCACTCTGCATATTTCTTTAACCTTTTATCTTTTCCCCTGTCTTTGTCTAATAGAACCTGTCTGTGTGTCCAGAGGATGAGTCTATAATCATGTCTTCATTTGTCAACACTATGACGTCTCTCAGTGTGAAACAAGGTAAACCATTACTTTATACTGTCAAAACCTAGAGGAGGAGAAGCTGCGACAACAGCACTGAGAGCACTCGTGGTACCGGCTCTGTATTTGTCACCAGAATCTTGTGTGGTCTTCAGTCCGGATGTTTTAATGTGTGTGAATTGTCACACTTTTGTGTTCCAGTGGAGGATGGAGAGGTGTTTGACTTCAGAGGCATGAGGCTGGACTGGTTCAGACTGCAGGTGTGTGCACACACACCTAGAGCTTGAACACATTTAGAAACACATTTAGAAACACATTTCTAAAGGTCAGAAGTTCTGCCGGTGCAACGTGGTTTCCAGGACGACTGAAACACATTTTTCACAGTATTTTTCACTGCACATCTTTGTGTTTTACTGTTTCATGGGGGGGAAAATAAAATACACTCCCGTAGAGTAACTCAAAGTAATTCAAAACCTCAAGTTAAAAGAACATTGTATTTTGTCACAGAGTTTTACCACCTGTACCTGAACGCTCCATCTGTTCCCCTCTGTAGGCCTACACAAGTGTCTCTAAGGCCAGTCTCGGTATCGCCGATCACAAGGAGCTCGGGAAAATGATGAACACCATCATCTTCCACACAAAGATGGTGGATTCTCTGGTGGAGATGCTGGTGGAGACGTCAGATCTGTCCATTTTCTGGTGAGACACACACACACATTATAACACACACACACACATACACACACTAACCCATACATGTAAACAGAAGTAGCAGGATGAACTTAAAACAATTTTTTTACGTTAGGTAAATAATATGAGGTGGGTATCCTTCGTGTGTGTGTGTGTGTGTGTGTGTGTGTGTGTAGCTTCTACAGCCGTGCATTTGAGAAGATGTTCCAGCAGTGCCTGGAGCTTCCCTCCCAGAGCCGACACTCCATCTGCTTCCCTCTGCTCTGCACACACTTCATGTCCTGCACACACGAGCTCTGCCCCGAGGAGGTAAAAATACACATAATTTACATTTCTGACACACACACACTAATAGATTGATTATGGTGGTTACCACACATAAAGACACTGCACACATAGTGACGATGACGACATCAATATTTATCCTTTACTTGTGTCCTTGTGTTTTTGTTTTTGTTTTTGTTTGCTCCGCAGCGTCACCACATAGGGGATCGAAGCCTGTCGTTGTGTAACATGTTTCTGGATGAGATGGCCAAACAGGCCAGAAACCTGATCACTGACATCTGCACTGAACAATGTACACTCAGCGACCAGGTGGGAGCACACACACACACACACACACACACACACACACACACACACACACACACACACAGAAAAGGCAGATGATGTGAAGGAATAGTTAGATATTTTTAGGGAAATCCACTTATTTGATTTCTTGCTGAGAGTTAGAGGAGAAGCTCAATACCGCTCTCATTTCTATACGGCGCACACAAGGCTGCAGCCGGTTAGCTTAGCTTAGCTTAGCTTAGCTTTGCATAAAGACTGGAAGCAGCTGGCCTGGCTCAGCTCCTCTAAAGCTCACCAATTAACACATTATATCTCATTTGTTTAATCTGTAAAAAAAAACAAAAACAAATAACAAAGCGTAAAATCCACAATTCACTGTTTTACATGGGGTTGTGTGCTGCACCAGTGGAGACGCATCCAAGAGTGGTATTGATCAGAAATGAGAGTGGTATCAATATTCTCATCTGACTCTCTGCCAGAAAGAGAATGAGGGCATTTCCCAAAAACATGGAACTATTCCTTTTAAGAATGAGAAAATGAAGGAGCACAGACTGTGAGAACTTTTGTGTCTTGATCCGGAAGCAGCTGGTTCATAAAGACCGAAAGTTTTCTCAACATATCCTTTTAAAAATAAAGTCCCACAAACAAATTCTCTGATGTGATGAGATTTGACACAGCAGCAAGCCAGAAACAAACAGACTTTTATATGCCCATTACATGCTGTCACAATAATGCTGTGAGTCCTTTGCTGATGCTTGTCATTGAAAGCTGCTTAGATTCATCTTTATCTGTTCACTGGTTTCACTTCTTACTTTATATAAAAACAGCCAGGCAGCTAATAACCCGTCTCTTTGTTTCTTTCCTTCTCTTTCCACCTGTCTCTGTCTCTTCTTCTACCCGTCTCTCTCTCTCTCTCTCTAGCTGCTTCCCAAGCACTGTGCGAAAACCATCAGCCAGGCCGTGAACAAGAAGAGCAAGAAGGCGACGGGGAAGAAAGGCGAGCCGGAGAGGGAGAAACCGGGAGTGGAGAGCATGAGGAAGAACAGACTACTGGTCACCAAGTCAGTAACCAAAGACAGAAGATTTAACCATCTTGATCTGTTCCTGATTCATTTTCACTCTTTTTGTCTCTTTGTCTCTCTGTATTAATTAGTCATTGCTACTGTTTCTGTCATAGTTATTAATAATGGATTAATAACCTTGTTTTTATTGTCGGTTTGAATTCCCATTAACACCATTAAACACGGCTCTTTTGTTCATGCAGTAGTAACGAGAACAGCTGCTGACGCTCGTGTAAACAGTTCAAATTGTTGCTGTATCGTTTGTACATATTGAGTCACGCTGTTGTTGTTTCGCACGTCTCCGGTGTCACCCTCATGTCCCCCGTGTGTTCACAGTGGTTTCTGTCACTTATATATTTCTATACCTCCTCCGTTTCCAGTGTTTTCTTTATGTTTCTCTACTTTATTCTGTTGCTGTAAAGACTCACTTTGTCCACACAGATCATTAAAAGTTTCATCATATCCTGCTGAGTCTGTTTTGACCTTTTTGTTTATTTTTTTCCTCTTCCAGTCTGGATAAACTCCACACAGCGTTATCTGAACTCTGCTTCTCCATCAACTACGTTCCCAACTTGGTGGTCTGGGAGCACACTTTCACACCGAGAGAGTACCTCACCTCACACCTGGAGATCCGATTTACCAAGTAAACACGCACACACCCTTTTATTTTTCAGTTTAGGTGCAGCGTCTACCTTTTTTTTTTTTTAATGAATTAGATACTAGACATTTAGCTATCAACGAATAGAAGAAGCATCAATTCCTGGAGCATCATCCTTACAGACGGTCATCAGGAGTTTAAAATGTAGTTTTAGTCAGTTCTTTGCTCTTACCAGTTTGTGTGTTCTGCTGAACTGACCTTGTTAAATCTCTGACTGTCCCTCTGTCGCCAGGTCCATAGTGGGGATGACTATGTACAACCAGGCTACTCAGGAGATAGCCAAGCCCAGTGAGCTGCTGACCAGCGTACGGGCCTACATGACCGTGCTGCAGTCCATAGAGAACTACGTCACCATCGACATCACCCGGGTCTTCAACAACGTGCTCCTGCAGCAGACGCAGCACCTGGACAGCCACGGTGAACCCACCATCACCAGTCTGTACACAAACTGGTACGTTCTCCTTAAACCTGCGTTTAAACCTGCAAGAATATGCAATAATCCAAAGCAGAGGAATCCCCAAAACCATCATGACTTCAAATGATTGAACCAGAAAAGGAAAACGGTTTGAATGTTTTTCTTCGAGCTGGAAGAGATGATGCATTTAGACTGTAATTGTACAGTCTCTAATCTAACACTATAGAATCTCTCAAACAGCTTTTTCTTGGAGCCTGTGTTCACAGATTTCCAGTTGCGAGAAAACTCTTTTTTATTATAACCATTGACAAAACGTCTGATTTTTATTGCTCTGCAGAGGGAAATGGCTTTTAACATTACAGGGTTTTAGTTTGTCCCTGCAGGAAATTGCTACAGCACAAACAACTAAATGTCAGACTTTGCTATTTTGGGCACAGAACCTGCAGGATAGTTGTTGTTGTTGGTTTAAAGTTCAGGACTTGTTTTTGGATATTGTTTATTTCTCTCTTTGATTTGGGGGGGAAAGGTTCAGGAGAGGAAGTTAAATGTTCCATTTAAAACAAACAAACAAACAAACATAACCAAAACAATGGAAACTGGTGCATCAGTGTATTAAGGAGCCCATTGCTGACTTTAGTTTTCTGATGATGGGATTTGCTTTTTACATAAAAGCCTCCTACAGACGGATTAAAATCCTATTTAGCAACACAATCACAGTTATTTCTGAAGTAAATGTGGTTTTAAATTTTAAAAGAAACAGTGATGCTCCTGCTAAAGAAGGATAGATTAAAACATGTAACCCATACTCAGCAAGTATTCTGCGTGTTTGTGTGTTTAGGTACTTGGAGACGCTGCTCCGTCAGGTCAGTAACGGACACATCGCCTACTTCCCCGCCATGAAGGCCTTCGTCAACCTGCCCACCGAGAACGAACTGACTTTCAACGCTGAGGAATACTCCGACATCTCTGGTACAAACACACGAGCGGGTTGTTCACAATCTCACTGTCTTGTCTAAACAACTGCTGAGTTCGGATGATGCTGGTGTCCTTTTTTTTTATTCCATAATAACACACATTTGGGCTTTAGACTTTAGAGATGATCCTCTCGTGTCCACGTTTTATATTTTCCGCTAAAAGCGTGTGGAGGATCGGACGTGTTGTAATCATTTGTGCGTGTTACTTCACAGAGATGCGTTCGCTGTCAGAGCTGTTGGGGCCGTACGGTATGAAGTTCCTCAGCGAGAGTCTGATGTGGCACATCTCATCACAGGTCGCAGAGTTGAAGGTACACACACACACACACACACACACACACAACCATACACACACACACACACACACAACCACAGTTTTATATAGATACACACAAAATAAAGTTTTAACCTCACGGGATCTACTTCAATTAAAAGTCTAGCCAGAGACGAGCACTGATTAGCTAATTACCTTCATCTTATGTACATGACGTCTTAGTATCAACATCTTTATCAACACACTGTTTAGTCCTAATCAAAGGAACTAACAGATTTGAAAATAAACACTTTCCAGACGTTAGTTCATATAGTGGATAATTAAGTAGCTTTTTTTTATATTATTATTTTATATTGATATTTTTTATATTATAACTGAAGCAATAGATATAACAGGTTTGTAAACTCGTAACTTGGAGTATGGAACAGTTGCACATATGATGAAGAATGGCCTTGACACTCGTATACGTGTATATATATATATATATATAATATATATATATTTTTTTTTTTTTTTTAATGAATAGAAATGAAAATTATCCTACTGTGTAAACATGAAGTGAAAAATTAATTTTTTTGTGTGTGATTGTCTCTGTGTAGAAACTGGTGGTGGAGAACATGGAGGTTCTGACCCAGATGAGGACGAGCTTTGACAAACCAGACCACATGGCTGCGCTCTTCAAGAAGCTCACCTGTAATCTCACACACACACACACACACACACACTAACACACATATATATATATATACACACACAGTTGCTAAGTAGCTTTTCACGCAGCTGCAAAATGAGCTGATAATGTGGCGACTGTAACGTGCTAAATACCCTCTGTATGAAATAAACAGTGTGTTTGACAACTGATGTTTAACTATGTTCACGTTCCTCTGGCGGCTCCGCTGACAGTGTGCTGTGAGTAAAAGCCTCTCGGTTTGATTGGAGAAGCCGCGTCTTTATTTTCTCGTATTGTTTACAATGTGTTAACACACTTGTTGTAAACTTGTGAAAGTGTTACAAGGCGACTGAAAGACAATTAAATGTCGATACAAACACTCAGCAGCACACGGCTGAAAAGCAAAGCGGCTTTGTTCTTAGCTGTGAATTACTCGATTGAAGATTAATTAGTGTGATATTTACTGTCATTGATTTACTGATCATTGTGCTGGAACGACAGCTGTGGCTTGGCCGACTGATGTTTGTTTTTGGTGTGTGATTGTAGCTGTGGACAGTGTTTTGAAGAGGATGACCATCATTGGAGTCATTTTGTCCTTCCGCTCCCTCGCTCAAGAGGCTCTGAGAGATGTAAGAGACACACACACACGCACACACACACACACGCACACACACGCACACACATACATTAATTCAAGTGCAACAAATGGATGGAATTAGAAAGCCAGTCTGAAAATTATCCTGTTCCAACCTCCGTGAATGTCAGATTTTAATATTTTGGACGATGTCTCGCCACGTTACCGATGCCGCATCGCACTCTCAGTCTCCGTCTCCGTCTCCACTTTCTCCAGGTGTTATCCTGTCATATTCCTTTCCTGGTCAGTTCGGTGGAAGATTTCAAGGACCACATTCCCCGAGAGACGGACATGAAGGTGAAACGCTCCCAGACACGTAAAAAAAATAAAAACCTGTTGTTAGTGTTCAGGTGTCGTCTCCTTCTCCTTCTGTTCTCCTTGTGTAAATGTTTTCGTCCGTTTCCAGGTGGCCATGAATGTCTACGAGCTGTCGTCAGCAGCGGGTTTACCCTGCGAGATCGACCCGGCTCTGGTGGTGGCTCTGTCCTCGCAAAAAAGTGGTGAGACTCAAACACACACACACACACACTCACACACAAACGAGAACTGAATCCATATTCCATCATATCATATGATGACCTTCTTAATGCATCTGTGCAGAGAACATCAGTCCAGAGGAGGAGTATAAGATCGCCTGCCTGCTAATGGTGTTTGTGGCCGTTTCACTGCCGACGCTGGCGAGCAACGTGATGTCCCAGTACAGCCCTGCCATCGAAGGTAGGACGCCACGCTGTCGTGAAGCAATTCTCGCGCAGATTTTTACCACAGAAGTAATAAAAAATGTAGTTACCACGGCTACAACTGAGGATTATTTCTCTTGTCTGACCTACAGTCCAAAACTCAGTCAATTTATTTAAATAAAAGCCTTTGAAAAGCAGCGAATTCTCACATGTAAGAAGTGGAAACCTATTGCTTTAAAAAAAATTTTTTTTTAAAAAGACTGAAAGGGTTAATGATTATCACAGTAGTTGCTGTTTAATGTTCTGTCCTTCGACTAATCGATTGACTAATCGTTGTGCAGAGCCTGAGAACGGCGCAGGAGAAAATACTACACATTGTACAGAACATAATTTACTGCATGAACGCCACACGGCTGTTCTGCATGTAAATGAGACGGACCTCGTGCCCTCACATTGATTCATTTATGTGCACAAGAGCCATTTCATACCTTCATTATGTATACTTTTTAAATTATGAACATACTAATGCATTTTTAGAGGTCAGTTTTCTCGTTGTGGCCTGTTTAATCCTATTTGTTGCATGTTTGTCAGTGAAAAGATTTCTTCAGTTAAATAAACAGGGTTTTTAGTGTAATGGAGACACAGTGTTGTAGTTAAATGAGGCTTTTGATAAGGTATCAAAGACTTTCGTCTCAAGGATGAATTATCAAGACATTGCCTGCTAACAACCTTGAAATGAAAGGCGCCATTGTTAATAAGGGACATTTGAAAAGGATAATGAGTTGTAATGGGCTCCACCATTGTTAGTATGCAGACCACATATCGGGCAGCAATTGGTTTCCTGACAGCACATCTCAATACAAGGCGCCAGCGCAGTCACGCGAACCATTTTGTGAACTAAGAATTACATGCACATATTTTATACTCTCATGCTCTTTATGCACCTCACATTCACACATAATGGCCGTCATCTGCATGAAATACAAAAAAAAAAAAAAATGAAATCCATATTTCCCTCCCGCCGCACTGGGAGTCCCACCTCTGTGTGTGTCTCTCAGCTGTGGGAGTCCTGAAGAGACACACACACGTCAGAAATTAACCCAGAACTAATTGATTTTCAAATACGCATGATGTCTTCTTATTCTGTCAGTAACAGTGTGTGTTTGCTGCCCCCTACAGGCCACTGTAACAACATCCACTGCCTGGCCAAAGCCATCAACCAGATCGCTGCTGCTCTCTTCACCATCCACAAGGGAAGCATAGAGGACCGCCTCAAAGAGTTCCTGGCTGTAAGACGAACAGATATTATTTAATTCATAATTATATTTTAACTTTTTTTTTTTTTTTTTATTTATGTGTCATTCCGTGATGATCAGAATCACATTATGGCCAAGTGCAATGTCCAAATCGCAGGAGCTGCAATTTTTATTTATTTTAAAATAAAGGTAAAATGTGTCATAACATCTGATTATAAATGAAGCGCTGCTACAATCAGCCCCCGGCCTGCAAATCAAATGTGAAGGAACATGCTTATTTTGAACAGAAAATCACATTTTTATATTTTTTGAAAGTGAAAAGCAAAAATTGCTGTATCGCAATATCTGTCAAAATAATCACAATGTGATATTTTTCACATGTAGTTCAGCAACTTTATTATCAGAGCTTTCATTTTGCTGGTGGTTTCCCTCTGTCTATCACTGTAGCAGCTAATAAAAACCACTGAATACAGGTGGATCAGACCAGAGGAATCAATGTAGTGGCAAAAAATAAATGCCATCCTAAGTGGGAAGCAGGAACGTAAAGCTAAGAAGTATCTGTGTGTGTGTGTGTGTGTGTGTGTGTGTGTGTGTGTGTGTGTGTAGCTGGCCTCATCCAGCCTGCTGAAGATCGGCCAGGAGACGGACAAGATGACGACACGTAACAGAGAATCTGTCTACCTGCTGCTGGACATGGTGAGAGACAACACACAAGACAGAGGAGACTTTACTTGTGGAGATGGAGGCAGAAGACCGTATTAATGTATTTCTATTATCTAACAGTCTGTCTGTGTGTGTGTGGTCTCTTCTGTGTTTCAGATCGTGCAGGAGTCTCCCTTCCTGACCATGGACCTGCTGGAGTCCTGTTTCCCCTATGTCCTGCTGCGAAACGCCTACCACGCCGTCTATAAACAGAGCATCAGCGCTAATGCATAGAAAACACAGTAAACACACAGCAAAAGGCCCCAATATGCTGTCTACCATCAGCGCTTTAGCGCTCGTGCGACAACAAACACACACTAACAGCGTACACTAGAGACAAACTAAACACTAAACTATGCCTACAATGCCTCAGCGTACTATCCTGACAACGAAAACACAGTCGGCGTCGACATGCGCACACACAAAATGTCGACACCCGCATGACACCGAACGTGTAGCATTTAAACAAGACCACACTAAATCCAGAACAAAATGCTGCACACTAAACTAAACTCCAAAAGAAGATGTAAAACACACACAATTCATTCCACAAAGTCAAAACAGAAAAAGAAGAAACACTGAAATTAGGCAGAAACATAAACGCAGATACACACTAGCTGGATGAAGTTGGGGGATCAGTGTCTTTATTTTAATCATTGTACTTTTTTCATGATGTTGCCAGGGACCATAACCATAGCAACACATAATATACCATATGTTTGGTTGGTATAAAAGAACAAAAATATAAATATATAGTATATATATAGTTGACACTAAAATATTCTCTTTTTTTTGTTTGTATTTTTTTTTTTTTTTTTTTTTTTTTTTTTTTTTTTTTTTTTTAGTTTTTTGTTTTTCAATGGAAGATTTGAGATTTTTAGTGGCCGGCTGACGACTTCTATGTGGTGATGGATTTGGATGCTTACTTTGGGAATGCAAATGACTCTGATGTGATGTGGGTTTTTTTTTTTTGTTTTCTTTTTTGCTTTTACTGACGAGGGCGGGTGAGGATCCTGTGTTTAATGAAAGACATGTTGCTTGTTCATGTAAGTTTACACTTATACACACACACACACACACACACACACACACGCGGACTGACAGACATCATGAGCAGATATGGGACGTCTAACACTAATCTTTCAGCATTTCATAGTGAAAACACACAGACAGACACACACTTGTATAACATGGTGATGTTTTCTTTCTTTTTTCTAGCTAGTCGTAAACAAACTTTTTGTGGGTAAAGATATAATATCTGTATTCTACTTTGATGTGAACTGAACTCGTCTGTTTTTAATGTTCATGTTTTGTTATTTTTATGATGACGACAATGATGATGACGAATTTGCCAAATGTGTTGACACTAAAAATTGTGTATCAGGGCTTGGAAGTGGTGGAGTGTTTGGGTATTAATGGGTGAGATGCCATTTTAAATGTGTGGACGGTTATCGGAACAATCCGCCTGACTCTGCGGCAGCTCAGTGAACAGAAGCGGTTTCTTTTACAGTGGGAACAAACTTTAAAAATAAAAAAATAAATAAAAAAATACTGCAGTGATACTACAGTGTAGGCATCAACCAATCAGTCAGTTTTATTTAAAGTGCAGCATCACCACGCAGCATGGTCCCAATACACTTTACAATGTATGGAGCATGCGTCCCATCCTGCTGTCGAGGACCCTCAGTACACCTGCAGATATTCCCCTCAGCTGTTGTTGGTTAACTCTCCTGTTTAAGTTAAAAGTCCAGTAGTTGCTACTCTGTTTCTCCAATGGGGTAAAGTAGAGATGAGCAAACCAGTAGAACATATAATCTATTTGGTCTCTTGCTAAATAATTTATGGAAACTTCTGGAAAAAGGCTGAAATGTTACGTTTTTTTTTTTTTTTGTTTGTTTGTTTTGTTTTATTTTATTGAGGGAAATTTTGCATCTAATTTCTAAACAGCTGTTGGGAGGTCGCCATCTACACTCCGAGGTTAGATAAACATGTTAGTACTTAACTTTGATCAAATTAACCAATTCCCTTGCAGACAAACATCTAAATCCTAATCGATGTCAAACCTGTGAAAGTCAGCAAAAACCTGGAGCTGCAATAAGATGAAATATATATATATAAAAATATATATGTTTATATATATTTATATATATATATGTGCACTCTTGGTGATGTTTTCACTGGATTTGTAAACTGCGGTCGATGGGGCATCCTCCAATGAACTTTCCTTATGAGCAGTTACATTTTTGCGACGGTTGTTCGGGATCTTTTAGGACAGACGGCTTCCAGACAGACGGACGACTTTTACAAAGTGCAGTCTCTTGTTTTTGGGGTTTTTTTTTTTGTTTTTTTGTTTTTTTTCTCAATCAAGGCATGGCAAGGGCTACATATTGAGACACATACACGAACCATGCTCCCTTTATGCCAGCCCTCTGCTGATGTATTACTAACACCAGGGCTCTGTCTGAAAGCTCATACTGCATACTACTCAGGACAGTTTAAAGTTAAAATTCAGAAGCAGTTGCAAAGTGAAGTAACATTAACACTATGTAGCAGGAATACACTAAAGTCTAGTAAATTAAGTTTCTACCCCCCACAGTAGATGGAGTGTGTTTCTACTGTGTATCCGGTCAGTAGAGTGCATTATGAGCATGTATGGACAGATCCATGGACACATTCTGCCATTTGATGTGGAATGGTTGCTGTTTTCTTTCTAACCTCTTTTTTGTGGCTCTAATTCCACCGTGTAACTTAAATGACATGAATAAAATAAACTTTAGGGCTGTGTCAGACCTGAGCTGTGAGTGTGTGGCGCTGGTTCGTGTGAACGGCCTCAGCTGAGATGAGATGTAAAACCGGTAAGTGGGAAAACTTTCCCTGAACAAGCCAGTTTTAGTAATTGATGCCGTTTGATACCATAATGAAAAGACTGAATCAAAACACTGTTTTAAATGGGGAAATGCCTTTAGAAAATACAGTCGTCAATTGGAAACAAATAATAGCACTAGTTCCCAACATAATTCTATAATACTGTAAACCATATGACCATGAAAATAGTATTAAATTGCGTATTATGTGGTATTATAAAAGTCTTAACGCTGCAGAAACACTCATTAAATACTCTAACACCAGGTACAGTCAGCTGAAAGTTTAGATATATGGAAGGAACGGTGCTTTATACAACACACTGAACATTACAACCTCATTATCTAATATCATTTTAAATTTAAACTAAACTTAACCCCATTTAATGACATCTTAGGTCCACACTGTCTGAGCTAATTAAAAAAACACTAACATGACTGGTCATACTGAGACAGGTGTTTTTACATCCAGTGGTGCTGTGTCACACAAAGGCCACCAGGGGGCTCCCCAAGAAAACTAATACCGGAGAGAAGGAGACATGGCATTAAACCCGGACATAAAAGTAGCTTATAGTCCATATTCTAATGTTTATTGCGTACAAAATCAAAGCTGACGTTGTATTGCTGTTAGTGATATTATAAGTCACAAGGATACATATTGCATACACAGATTAACAAAATAAAATGACAAAACAAGACTCTTCATCAACTGATCCATCATTTTACAATGAGAGTACATTGAAGTCTTCTGTTTTCAAACCTGTGCTGGTCAACCGTAAACTGATATTTTTGCATAGTTGTGACATTTGTAAAAGCTTGGGGGGAAAAAAAAAAACAAGAACTCCTTTATAATCTAATAACGCCTTCGGTAGACGTTCTGACGTCATAGCAGGAAAAGCACAGGTGTAATTAATAACGTTAATGATGGCTACTCTCCACCTGTACCTGTTCTGTTTCATGTCAAAACGTCTGCTTCGAAAACATCAGTACAGTGCTAAAAGCTACAGGTATTATTTATTGCATTACATTTGTGTTTTATTAATTCGGCTATTTACAGGTGTTGTTTCAGGGACCTGCAAATTTCTACAGTAGCCGAGAAAGGCCGTAATCGCAAATATTTTTTTTATTTTTTTAATATCGTTACCTCAAGATAACGGAGCTTTGTTTTCTGGAGACAACGAGATAATTATTCCGTCATCTGCGAGTACGGCCTTTCTCGGCTTCCGTACATTTCTGATCACACAGCGGACATTTTAAAAAAAAGCTTGAGGCGGTTAACAACCCAGACATAAACTACCAGGTAGCATAGCTAAGATCAAGACTAGTACCAAACTAGCCTGTCATTATTTAGTAATCAGGAAACAACCAGTACTTAAAGATGTTAAGTAAGTTTAGAGCTGGTCAATTAATCGATTGACAGAAGGATAGTTAGTCGTTTTAGTCGTTTTCAAGCAAAAACATTGAAAAAAAAATGCCAAACATCCTGTTGGCTCCAGTTTCTCAAATGAGACGATTTGCTGCTTTTCTCTGTCATACGTCATTTCAAACTGAATATCTATGCGGTTTGGACTAAAACAAGACATTTAAAGACTTCACCTTGGGTTCTGGGGAAGTTGTGATTTTTCCACCATTTTTTGAAGGTTCATAGACAAACAGTTAATCAATAAAATGAAAAAGTTATTGGCAGCTTAATGGATTGTGAAAGTAATCGACAGTTGTAGCACTACCTTGTTTTATATATTTTAAACTGTCATCAAGATTTCTAGTGTTTTTTATTAGTAAACTGATGCTTTATTGTGGGTCAAAGAAGTGTCTTTATCTACAGCGAATTATTTAGCTTAAAGGAGCCACGTGTAAGTTTCGCTATTGCTACATAACCCATGTTAGCATTTAACAGCTGTTTACTTGCCAGTCTGGCCAAGAGCTTTAACCATTGTTGTGTTTACAAGACATGAGGTTATAATATGTCCTCTGAGCAGTGCTACGACTGGATGTCACAGTGACTCGGTATCGGAAAATGACAAGACAGTCCAACCCGGCTGGTGACCATGCTAAGTTCAGTAGAAGAAAATAAGAAGAAGTTTTTGTTTTAAAAAAAGGATTGCTTTCCAACTCTGGGACAGCTCTTGGTGAGTAAAGGATTGACGTTTGATGCTGAACTCGCAACATTTCTTCTAGACTGGTAAGTGAACAGCTGTTAATGCTAACATTGGCTATGTAGCAATAGCAAAACTTATGAAAAAGTTGTTGCTTTTATCCATTACTTCCTTTTGAATAAATTTGGACTGTGTAAATTTTGAAATGAAAAAAATGTATTTAGTTTTTTGTTGGCATTCGAACAAGTTACAATGAGTTCCCCACCAAAAGTTTTTAAATGTCAGCTGTTTGAGGTTAACTGTTGTGATGGCATTTATTTGTTCTACGTTTGCTGCTTCTGTTAAAGGAAGAATCACATTTCCACCCTATTCACGAACTGAAACAGGGAAAATAAAGGTAAGTTTTGATTTTAAAGTTAGAGTTAAAGAATAACAGTTGATTCTGTGGCAGTTTGTGTGATGTCATATTGTGGTGAATGTGCTAAGTGAGGCGAGTTGGCTCTGTTGGCTGTTTCCAGACCAGTTTGTTAAAGAGTAAAGGAAGCTGGTTTAACACGTTTCTTACGTTAACTGCTCAGAGGTCAACTCTCCCACTCAAATCAATGTCCTGTCATGTAGGTGCTACACTTGAGATGGACGCCTGAGTCCGTCTGTCGGTTTGTCCAGAATAGCGGAGATAAAATGGTCGCCCCTTGTGTGCTGAGACTTCTCTCCTGGATCAGTCAGCCTGAGGCATGGCTTCCTCCTCGTCCTCCTCAGGTACAGAACTTTCCAGTTTACCTACACAAACACAAACATGACTTAAATTTAATGAATGAACGAATGAATATTCATTTTTCACACACCTAAAGGTCCTCAGCCCACAACAGCGCACAAGACGCTACTTAAATTACCTGTTAATAATATCAAATTAAACATACTCATATGTTGATAGTACTCTGCATCCATTGATCATGTCAGTATAGATAGTAATTTTACATGACAAGAATTTAATCCTATTTGGGATATGTCTGCTGAAACACAATACATTCATGTTTGTGACCAGTTACTGCATTTTAAGTAGTATTATTATGCTTTTTCTATGTAATCTGATCACTCTGCAGACCCCCACCTCCCCACCCCACCCATACACCATCACCACAACCACCTGATTTTGAAAATGACAAATAACAAATCCAGGTTTAATCTACTATTTATATAAAAGCCCCATTCAAAACGTTAATTAGCTTTAATAAAGCAAACAAACAAAGTCTTAAAAAAAGCATGATAAATATTATCCTGTGTCACAACATGCGACACAAACACAGTCATTAACTGAAACAGTTCTGGAAACAAAATGAAACTCAGTAACTGTTGGCAGTAAAAGGTTAACAGCAAGTCCCCCGAATAAATCGTCCTTTTTCCAGCTGCACACTGAACGTAGCATCAACAGGAAATATCTGATAAAGCTTTGAAGAAGAACAGGACATACTGAATTGTATCAGTCTATAACAGAAAGACAGAAATTTAAACTGTAAAATGATTTAATCCAAGGCGCTGATGAACTGAAAAAAACATGCACATCACTTGGTCACAGGTTTGAAGATAAACCAGAAGATTGTGCCTTTTGATGAGCCGTTACCGTGGATCCTATTTGTTTCTTTCCCTTCCTCTCGCTGCACATCCCATCTGTAGACATTTATCATCTGATTAAAAACACTAGGACACACGTTACATAAACCAACACACTCATTCACAGACACACACAGGCACTTCAGCTGTTAATGCTGCGAACGACGGAGGTCGATCTCCAAACAGCAGGGTCACACAGATGTGAGGAAGGCAGCCTTGTAATGCTATTTATTGCTGCATTAATGGTGCAAACAAACAAAACACCACGTCTGTTCTAAAATCTTTTTATTCTTTATTCTTGTATAGTTAATGTTTTTAATCTCTGTTCTGTCCCTGCATCGTTTACACGTCACATTGTTTTAGGTCTTTGATTAAGACAATTCATTCAAGTCTCAAATATTGTCACTATAGTGTAAAAATCTTCTGTTGGTTAAAAGTGTAAAGATCACCATCAACGTGATCCTTTCTTTCATCCACGTCCTCACCTGTCACCACCTGTTGTCTTGGTCTTAAATCATATTCAGGATGTGATACGGAGTGTCACCTGGTTAATCATATATCTGCGTGTCCAGGTTTCTGATGGTCTGTGACGCCTCCACATCACAGTTAGTTCTGTTCACATGGACTCGTGGATGATTTTGGCAGTCAGAGGTCAAAGGTCAATGTCACTGTGACCTCACAAAACACGATTTTGTGACACATTTTCACACAAATGTGATAAAATGATGAAGGGATGACATTTTATATCGAAGTGGTCGAAAGGTCAACTTAACTGTGACACCATGACGTACTGCAGAAACACTTCTGGCCATTATTCAACTGTAACATAAAACCGCTGGTTCTATGTTTATGTTTATGTATTTTATGGCTGAAAACAAACTATAAAAACTGTCACTATAGGAGGAAGAATAGTCCGACATTCAGCGAATGTTTCAATATAATTCATCTTTATTCACAGCCGTTTCTACACAAGCAAAACCTGACCAACGTCGCCGACAGCATTTTAAATTTACACAGATTGGGTTTGTGCACGTGTCTGTATGTGTAAATGGAAGAGAGGGCGGGAGAGCTGTAGCCAAATAAACATACAGTGTTTATGTTTAGCACAGGAGTGAAGCAGTGAGTTAATGATGAACAGCAGTGAGAAGGAGGAGGGGAAAGTTGGTTATGGAGAGACGATCGGGGGCAGAGGTGGCTATCGGGAGACGGAGTCGGGACTGGACGCCTCCTTTTTGTGGTCACATGACAAATCTGAGAAAAGGAGGAGAGAGAGAGAGAGAGAGAGAGCGGAGGGGGGAGGGTGGTAGATAATAGCAAAATTGAAAGATCATGCAAAGCCACAAGAGGAGGAAGGAGGGAGAGACAGAGGAGTTAGTGCTGTTAGTCAGATTTACAGAACGTAGACTGTTAGTATGGAAATATAAACAGTGAATCATTAGTAACAGACAGTGTGTGTGCACCACGGTTTTAGTTTGTGGATGTAGTCAGGTTTTAATGACATCATTTTAATTGCTGTTACATATTCTTGATGAATGCACGGACAGACTAATAAAGTTATTATGGTTGATGTGTTAGCAGAAAGCTGCCTCTGTACACTTAAACCAGACATGGTGCAACATTAGCATCAAGTTGGAGTTGTGTTTGAGTTTAAGTCCAATATTCACTCTCCTTCTTTAGACGTGTTTTCACCTCCTGAGGAAAATGTCTGGCTCTTTAGCTGCTTGATGTTGGACTCTCTTCCGCAGCAGGTCTCTAACTGTGTCTGTTTGCTGTTTACTGCTGGGCAGGTAGTGTGTGTGCAGGGCTTATCAGGACCTGAAGAAAACAGCTGCATGCAGGGGTTGATAAGAGCAGCTCAGGCGTAGCAAAGAGCTAAAAAAAAAAAAAAAAAAAATATCCTTAAAGCTGCAGAAGTTTAAATTTAATTCTGCAATGTTGATATGAAAAACACAGATTAATGCAGTGTTTCAGTTTCAGGCAAATGAAATGGCAGTTTGTCTCTTAGGACAATTTCATAATTTGTAAATGGTTATAAAAAAGGTTTTAAAATGTTTTTTTTTTGTTGGGTATTATTGACTATAATTATGTTAAATAAATTAACACTAGTCTGTGTGTGTTGTGGTGTGTGTATGGCAGAACAGAATACTCCAAATCAATCTAAATACGACACAGTATTTTGGGTTTATAGCCAAACAGAGACACTGGCCTTTGGTGGCATTTACCACAGGCTTCACCGACTGTTTGCTGTGTATTTTTGTCTTGGTTTCATGTAATAACTGTATTTTTATTTCATTTTTATTTCATTTTTTATAGCTACTGCGGTCGCCATTAAACGAATGGGCCTGGCGGTGAGTACAGTCTTTAGTTGACACAAAATTAGATTTGAGTTGGAGTATGCCGCTGCACAAAGTGTGTATGTTTTTCCGTCTAAAAAAAAAAGTGTTTACCCCCTAAACTGTTGCTCTCTGCCACTCCTCTCTCCTGATTGGCTAACGGCAGACTCGCCTCATTCCCGTTGGCTTCCTCTGGCCCATTGTGATTGGCCCACAGAGTAGCAGCGGCATAGAGCTGCGCTGTGATTGGGCTCAGCTGGCCGTCTGTCTCAGAGAGCCCCGCCCCAAGAAGATGTTGCTCCACCCCCAGCTGAAGCTCTGAGGAGAGAAGAGCACCTCTAGTGGAGAGACGCTTCAACTACAGGCATGTCGCAGCAGAGCGGGAAAAAAAGCCAAAGTAACTAAAAAATAAAACTAATTTATGACTTAATTAAAATTTAAATTGAAATTTGGGGGGAAAAAATTGGGGAAATATCTGTTTGGAAAGTGAAGGAGAAAACAAGAAGACAAAAATATCCAACTAAAGATTAGCAAAGCAGATGAGTATCTTGTAAAAGCCATAAATATCCGACTCCGACACGAGTTTTGGGGGAAAAGGTCAAAGAAATTAGTCTCACTTGTATGTTTGACTTGGCCTGATGTTCAGCAGTGTGTTCAGGTACGAAGTTTACTGAAAACCCTTCTGCTGATAAACTCCAGCATGATAAATATCTCCAGGTGTCCAAGAATAAACTCCAACTAGTTCCTCCTGAGTCGGCGTCATATTCAGTTTGATTTGTAGGTGTCTCTCTGAAAAATCCTGCGTCATTCACCACAGAGACTAAATATTAAAGTAAATCTTACCAAACGCACCTCAGTCGGCTTAAAGATAAAAAATTAAACGCATATTAAGTCTAAATAAAAACAAAATTTCAACTTCAACGTGAAAAACTGATCATGAAATACTGTAAAACCACAGTGTGACAATAAAAACTAATCAGATTAATAAATAAAATCTCGATTCCTACAGAAGGTAAATGCCTTATATGCATTTGTTCCATAGGCAGTTACTCACAAGGCTATTATCTAACTGGGCTACACACACACACACACACAAACACACACACACACACACACACACACAAACTCACACTCACTCAGACGGGATCAATCAATAAAAGAAAAGCTTTTACGGTCTCCACTTCCCGGAACCTGCACTCAGAGCTCTGCACACGCACTAATACGCTTTATGTTTTTCTTCCTTTTTGTGTCTCCCCCCCCCAACAACATCCACCTCTTCCCCCCTACACACTCGCTAAAACACAGCTGCATACAGCACACAGCTCAAAACACACACACACACACACACACACACACACACACACACACACGCAGAAAATACTGAGTCAGCTTCTTTTGTAAACTGTCGTAAAAGCCGGTACAGAAGCCGCACTGCTTCTCTGAGCCCATCGCTGTTTTCCAATGAGAAGCTCAGGAACAGTTTTTTATAAATTATTCAGCACATGTGATGATTAAAAAATAAAAAATGACATCAACATCAACATCAACAACAACAACAACAAGTCTTTTAGAGATGAAAGCCATCAGACAGGTGCTCTCTGCTCTGCACTGTGGGTGAAACCGGAGAAGGTTTTCTCCAGATAAAGACTATTGGCTGCTCAATACATCACTGCAAGTCATGATAAATGTTCAAGTCAGAAATCCAATGTTTGTTTTTTTGTTGTGTTGTTAAGTAACCAAAATCCAATATCTTCCACGTGTCTCATGCTCTTGTCATCTTCATTTATGAATTACTGAGATATTCTAGTCACAGGCAAAACCCAGCGTCTGCTGATCGACAGCTAAATTTTAAATTCTGTCCAACATTAGAGTCGAGTAGTTAGAGCACCTATACACCTGGTTGTTCACGCAAATATCCTCCCGTCCAATCAGCCAATCATATGGCAGCAGCTCAATTGCATCAAATCATGAAGATCCAGGTCAGGAGTTTATTCTAATAGTTGTTTGAAACTTGAAAAACATCCAAATTTGAGAAGCTGGAATTTGTGAATTTGTGGCATTTTTGCTTAAAAATTGGATTTAATCAATTAATAAGTTATCAATAGTATTTCGGGTGCGTAGGGAAATAAGTAAACTGCCATATATAGTGGGGATCAGAGGGGCCCCAGCAATGAATGTTTGCCCTGGGGCCCCCAGGAGGTTAATGAGAGGAGTAAGATATATCAGGCTTTGGAAACACAAACAAACCAAACCAACTGGTTTTGGTCTTTAAATAAAGAATATCACCCTCCCAGTCCCCACAGCTCAACTCACAACTGTTTGACATCTTCTTGTGAAATTCTTGAATTTATAATCTACTGTTGTAATTTGATTAAGATTTGCATGATGATAAAAAACAAACAAACAAACGACTGATTGATTTGGTTGATATGTAGAGACACGGTACAACTTGTTTATTCCGATTTCAGAAACCAAACCACCAGCTTCCTCCTCTGCCAGATGTGCTACAGATCTGAGTCCGAAAAACAAGACCGAAGAACTAAAGAGCAAAACCCAAGACTAAGAAAACAGAAGTGGGGGGGGGGGTGAAACAGATATAGCTGCAGATACAAAGACGAAACGTCGTGCAGTAAAAACAAAACAAACAGAACTTCCATACTGAAAGCAAACATTCAGATACCATAAAGAGTGAGGAGAGGACGGAGGAGGCGGGTGTGTACGCAGCTGCATATACAACACACCCTACAGAGAAAATCCCTCAGAGAGACACAGATGCACATACATGTTGTGAATGGGAAGGTATTTGTATAAAGAACTGACGCATCTGTTTATGAAAAAGCTCTTATTCTCATTTCAGAAAAAAGCATTTATTTGATTTGTGTCTTACTAAATTACATGTTCCAATAACCTGCTGATTGCATTCGGCCTCTAATCCCCGAAGGACAAACGGCGGGTCTGTTGCTAATAATCCCGAATTAAGAAGTCGTCAGTGTGACAGACGTGTAATGACTTTCAGACAGTGACGGATTCTTTACAACTTCTGCAGCTGATTCTGCCAAATGTTTTTAGTTTGTATTTTAAATGAATACTGCGTCGTCTTTGTTGTTTCTGGGTTTATCTGCTGCAAAGATTCTCATCTCTTACTCCCTCGTTTCCCCATTTCAGAGGCATTTTGATGGAAACACACGCGCCCAGGGACCTGAGCTGCGCCGCGCCAGTCCTAACCCTCCCCCCGAGGAGAGCAGGGTTTCTGCTGCTTTCTTTGCAGAGAGTATCTTTCTTATAAACTTTCAGAGCTTCTGCACATTTTTTGAGGAATCGTGGGAGATCAGGTCTGTGTTTACCTTTCATGGTGGGCGGGGCGTAGGTGCTCTGCTTCCTCTGAGAGGAATCTGAAGCCTGCGGAAGAAACAGAAGAAAAATCGCATTATAACCTGACTCACCGCGGACAAACATGCAGCAGGGTAAACTGCACAAGCAGAGAAAGTTTTAAAGATAAACCGGTGTTACTAAGATGCTGATCCTTATATTATTAAAACAAGAAGAGAAGATGATTTAAAAAATATATTCGAAGATAATTAATGCACTTATAAACATAATGTAAAAACAAGGGACGTTCTGTTGCACACACCGTGCAGCCCTTCTTAATCTTATTATAGTGAAACAGCATTGACCCTCCAGACATTTATCTTCTGTCTGCTGTGAAGCTTTAATGTCGGATGCTCTTCAGAAAGTTGTGAGATACTAAGAATTCAATATTTTGAACTGTCTGGTGGAAAAAGATGATAATGATAGAGATATTTATCCAAGTGAAATGCCAGCAGGTCAGGTATAAATCATCAGGAGTTGGAACAGCTGTTTCCAATCAAATCCATATTTCAGATGGAATATTTTGATGGATTTCTTTGTTTAACTAGTTGTTGATATATTGTTATTGACATTGATGAAGAGTATTAAATACTGAGGAGTTTTTTTCCTGACAGTGAGTTTCTTGTCTGGTTCACAGGTGACCCATACTGGTGTGTTTCCCACATCTGTGTGTATTTACAACCATTTATACAAACCTGCGACTCTCCGCTGGCGTTGTGTTGATCTCCAACATCTGCAGGAGAGACGAGACAGCAGCGGTGAGCTCTTCCTGTTTTTATTGATCTGTCTGCAGCTCATTTTAAAAGTTGATCCATTTCTGACACATTGCCATTTATTTTAAAAAATCTGCGTGGCAGATGTTTCCAGAGCTCGGGGGTTTAACGGTGTCAGTGGGTCTGTTGCTGAGTCAGTCTGCTGGTTCAAACCACGCCGGCCGGGTCGGATAGTGGGTCTTAATAGTCTTATTTCCTCTGTGGCCTGAAGCCAGGCTGTGATCATGTTAGGAACAACGAGCTCTTAGATGAACTCTGTGTGATCAGAACAGAGCAAGTGCAGTTTGTAAATTGGAAATGAAGTTTGCCCAGTTCCCCAAGTGCAGGAATTCCTGGAACAGCGATCAGCATGGAGCAATAACCCTGTTAACACCTGCAGGTGATTATAGTCTCCTCAAATCAAGGGGCTGTTGGCCGGGGACTCAGCAGTGACTTGGCAGGAGCTGGAAATTCTTGTTTTCAGAAGCTATTTTGTTTTTTTTCTGGAAATAAACGTGTGTATTAACGTCCCTCGACTTTCTCTTTTGCTACTGTTGCATCAATATTCTGTGTTTTTATCGTCAGAAAATCCCATGAACTGATCTTCACACTCAAGATGTAAATCTTTTTAAAAGTGAGTCACGAATCTAAAGTTTCATTTTTAAACAACAGAAGATAATCTGCTGGAACAGCTGAGCGCTGCAGCTTCGGCAAATGTTACTCAAAACGGGAGGAAATGGTGCATTTGATGGGGGACTATTTTCAGCTGCAGATTAATACACATTTAGTTCTCTAGAGGATATTTGGGGCATCGGGATGGTGTGTGTGTGTGTGTGTGTGTGTGTGAGTTTGACTGAAAATGAACTGCAGTGTGTGTGTGTGTGTGTGTGTGTGTGTGCGTGCGTGCGTGCGTGTGTGTGTGTGTGTGCGTGTGTGCGTGTGTGTGTGTTCATGGTGAACAAGGAACATGTCGACCAGTGCTACAGTGCGGCTCATTGATGTGTTTTTAATAGTTTCTTTGAGAAACAATGGAGCTCTGTGGCAAAGAGCGACGAACGCACACTGGTCTCATTGGTTTCGCTCTTTTCATGGGATTCACTGACAAAAAGAAAAAACATACAGTAGAATATCACCAGATTTATTCTATAAAAATGACAAAACTGAATGAAGTTTGATGTGACTCCAAATTCCCTCCAGCTCAGTGTTGATGTTTTTCAATCTCAGCGTGAGCTTCAAAACGTCGACTGTGAGCTGGAAGAAGAATTGTCGTCTCTGGGGGAAATGAAAGGAAAATCAGTGGATGAGAAAGGTTGACAGTCGACATCAGCGAAAGTCCCACATCACTACAGTGGGATGGTTACAGAAAATATTGGCATTTATTGAAGACGAAACGTCACGTTATTTCAGCAAAATACTGGAGAAACAGAAGACGTGACGAGTGCGCTGTTTGTTGGGATGATCGTCTTTATTTCAAAGCTAAGAGCTCGGTCACTTCTTGTTTTTACAGCTGCCAGCTGGTTTCCATCCAACAGACTGACTGTAGTTTATTGCCTAAAAACGAAGAGGTAATATCTCTGAAATTTGGTGCACAGATCGAGCTTGAATTGATCAGATCGTTCTGATCAGGCTGTAATCATTTTGGCTGTAATCGTTTCTGAAGACACTGAGGTTGTGTTGTGCTCTGTGCTCGTGTGTGTTCCTGGTCTTCCTTGTTGTGTTTGATTCCAACAATCTTGTTCTGATTTCATTGAGTAACAAGACAAAATGGCTGCTGCTTGAAAACACCTCAGGCGCCTCACAGAGATCTGCACAACCGTATTGGAACCAGACCCACTGAGCTGAGATCACAGAATGGAATCAGGCCGATTATTCAATCAGTCGGTTCATGTGTACAGGGATTTATAAGAGGGCGCGTGCACGCACACACACACACACACACACACACACACACACACACACACACACACACACACACACACTTCAGGCATCCATCAGTCCAGTCTGAACACTGAGATCACTTTACCAAAAGCTGCAGCACAAATCTAATAAAGGTTCCATTATAGTTGCTGCTTTTCAGTTCTCTCCACCCCCACCCTCCCTCTCTCTCTCTCTCTCTCTCTCTCTCTCTCTCTCTCTCTCTCTCTCTCTCTGCAGTCTTACCTGGGCCAGGTTGTCTGTAGATCTGCAGAGTGGCAGGAGTCGGTCTTCTGCGGCGGATCTGAGGTAAACACACAAACACGCTTTCATGGTTTCATTTCCTCTTTGAAATACTGTTGGATCTCATCCTCGGTGAGATTTCCCTTCCGTCTTCTGATCAAACACTTGGGTTTGAAAAGAAAAATACCAATTTTCACTGTCCCAATAATGAGGTTTCAAAACCGCAGTTAGTCAATAGGCTTTTAAAACACAAAACAAGAGTTAATTAAACACACCAACTGGCACTAATTGCCCCATTTCTTACACTGTGAAAACACACAATCAAACACACTTGCGTATTTTTATAGACCTTTCATTTAGAGCATTTCATTAGCTGCCTGCAATTAAACAGGCCTAACCCTTTAAAAGACTGCGTTTAATTTCCAAAATGCATCTTAAAAATCGAATTTTCCACTTGCAGTTTTAAAAGCACAAATTTCCCACGTACTGCAGCGAATGGCAAAGAAGAACGTGGCAAACATACTTTTAATAAAATATAGGTTTTAAAAGATGGATTTTCCCCACTTTTAAATGAGAAACGCGGCTCCAGCGATTTACAGACACATTTTGCTGGCTATTCTAATTCCTCTTACATGGATCCATCTTACTGTGATGATAAACAACGTAATCCAATTAAAACCAAAGTAAAAAATCAGTTCTAGTTTACTCTGCCGTGGAGGGAATAACGCTGTCACACTGCAGGAATGTAAATGTTCTTCGTCGTCCTGGAGGGAGCGACTTGGTTTACAAGACGTTATCTCGTAAAAACCATTGCAGCTATTCTGTAAATGACAGTTTCCAACACAGGGACTCCCCAGACGCCCGCGGAGGGGCCCTGATCCGTCACTGTTCAACACACAGCTTCCGGTTCCCAGCTAAACAGTTGATAAAGACGTCAGCTCACAGGCGGCAGTTTTCACCCCCCCCCCTTAAATCTTGTCTTGTCTTTTTTTTTGCAGTAGAAAACCACAGCACACATTACAAGCTATAAAAGGCCTACCTGACTTTCCTACCTTTACTTATGAAAGGTCACTCAGTTAGTGACAGCCTGTGTGTTTCCCAGAAGTCCTTTTCTACACCCCCTAAGAGAACGGGCGTGAACTTGTTGCAATCAGCTGCAAATCATCCGTGACAGCAGGAAATTATTGGACTTGTGGAGAGTCACATTTACATCATCAGCTACTTGTAGAGTGAATATGGAAAAAGCACATGAATAAAAAGCTTTGTGATTTACTGGAATGTTTTCTAACAGGGTTTCTTAGTAATCTGATTGTAGAGTGAATATTTCAGGAGTGTATAAATAAAAATTCTCCATATTTTCCGCTCACAAAGACGCAAATATTAAAACTCTTGTGCCATGAAAACAAAGCAACCCGCAGAATCACATGCAGCGCCGCTCAAATGTGACATTAAATACACAAACAGCAGTTTTCATAAGATCCGTTCCTCATGCACACATGCTGCTCTGCACCCACACACAGAAAATTCCAGGCAAGACTCGCAAGATCACAGAGAGAAGCCACATTCATGAACCCACACCGTCCCGCAACTCTGTGACACACACACACACACACACACACACACACATGCTCGCTCAGATACACTCACATGTTCGGCGGCCTGTGGGTCCAGCTGTCCCTGCAGCGGAGGCACAGCAAACTGGATCTTCTTCGGACTGCTGGGCTCCATTATTACTGACTGAGAGATAGAAAGAAAGACAGACAGAAAGAGAGAGAGAGAGAGTAGTGTGTGTATGTGTGTGTGTGTATGTGTGTGTGTGTGTATGTGTGTGTGTGTGTGTGTGTGTCAAGGAGGGAGGGAGTAGAGAGGGAGGGAGTGGTCTTCTCTCGGCCGGCGGGGTCCATTATCACTAATTGACAGACTTAGAGAGAGAGAGAGAAAGAATAGCAGCCGAGTCATTGCAGCATTTTCCAAAACAGACTCTGTGATGTTGCATGAGGTCGAGGAATAATATCAGAAAAGTCTGCAATACTTGTTTTTATTTTTTTTATTTTTGTAGTATTTATTTGTTTATAAGTTCAATCTGTTTCCTCACGACTACAGCTGCTTAAATGTGCAGATTTCAGCAGCTACATTTGCTGTCGCCCAGGATCAATTTCTATTTGAAAAGCATTCCTGGTCTCTGGTTTGCACTGTTATAAATCTACTGAATAAAAAAGACGCATTCATCAAAGACTAAAAGTCTGCAGCTCTGTGAAGCTGCACTTGGCCATTCTTGTAAATTTAAACACAAGTACAATGCATGCTGGGAAGTATATGTTTATAAAGTTTAGTGTGAAGTCTAAAGCAAAGATGAGATCTACTCCTCCTGTATTCCACAACTGAAGAACCTGTGATCTTTATTTATGCCCAAAAATATAAGCATTTTTACATCGTGGTGTTTTTATCACGTCTTTAGGAAATGCCACGAACGCTCTCAGAAAACTCTGAGCATCAAAGGAAGGGCTCTTATTTTGTAAATGATTTGGATTTGTCGTATTTTATTTATTTTAAATGCTGAATCAAAGCTCCGTCCACACTGCCAGCAATAACAAGCCTTTAGTTCTGTAAATTTTTTATTGACCCAGTTCAGTCTGAATGTGAAATCCCCCGAGGTGGATAAACCAGAGGAGATGATGTCAGTTTTCATAATGCGAGCTAAACCTCTGATCTTATTTATACTTTACGTTATTTCCAAACTGTTTTTTACAGTTTTACCAGAAGCTCTCAGACTTATGAGCCTCTCTGGAGTCATACGGTAAAAGACTATAGCAATCCATGTGCAGCAATTAATAAAGTGTTAGGTGCTTAGCAAAAAACGTGTGGAAGATCTGTGCCTACAGATTTCCACACTGGTGTATTTTCACCCGTCTTTGCGCCGGTTTAAATGGTCTTCAGATTCATAATTCACCACAGTGTAAAGAAAAATCTTACTGAAGTAAACACGATACTTTCCTTAAGTAAACTTGTACAAGACAGAAATAAATAGAGAGAAATAAAAGCTTGTTATTGCTGGCAGTGTGGACGGAGCTTTGATACAGCATTTAGAATAAATTCTGAATAAATAAAGTACGACAAATCGTTTACAGAAGAAGGGATTTTCCTTTGATGCTCAAATATTCCTGAGAGCGGCCGCGGTGTGTTTGTGGCCCTGCATTTCATGAAGATATATGATGCTAAAAACACCACAATGTAAAAATACTAACTTATATTTTTGGGCATAGATAAAGATCACAGGTTGTTTGGCTTTAGAAATATAAATGATCTGCATTTAAAGTAACATTTGAGTTGTTTAGTTGTGGAATACAGGAACACACATTTCCAGAGTAGATTTTATCTTTACTTTAGACTTGTTCACACTGTAAAATCTCATCATCAGCCACATTATCTGAACTCCTCTTTCATGATTAAATGTAAATCTGTGCGATTAGATTCAGTCAGCCGTTCAGTTTCAAGTCAGGTCAGTTTAAACTTGCTTCCAGAAGTAAAATCACGAGTCCAGTCACGTAACAAAACAATGTTTTTGACTAAATTTCCCACAAATCACTCACTTAACTTATAAAACTGTCAGTTCATGAACAAATACTTCCCAGCATGCATTGTACTTGTGTTAAAATTCTCAAGAATGGCCAAGTGCAGCTTCACATGGTCCTGCATGTCCAGAAATACGTGATGGTTTCATACATTGGAGTCATTACTTACACAAACAAACAAATACGAAAATTATTAAAGTAAATAATTAAAGAGAACAGAAGAAGAAGAAATCTCGCCTCGTACTCTCTGTTCCTCTTTGTGCCTCTCTGTCTCTGTTATGTCCATTTGCATTTTCTACCCCCAACTCACAAACCTGCATCCTCTGCCACCAATGACATCAGTGTGTGTGTGTGTGTGTGTGTGTGTGTGTGTGTGTGTGTGTGTGTGCGCACGCTGGCAGTTGTAGTGGAAACACTTTGTCTCAGTGGGGACATATGGAGAGACTTTGGCTACTGTAGGTGGAACAAACCACACACACACATCATACAAAGAGCCTCTTGTGTGTGTGTGTGTGTGTGTGTGTGTGTGTGTGTGTGTGTGTGTGTGTGTGTGTGTTTTTTCTTTTCTTCCATGCTTTTGGAAACCGTCCATCTCTGCTGTGTTGAAGGTGAGACACAAACCGCCGCTCTGTCGTCCGTGGCACCTGCACTTTCCTGTCGTATCAGCCGCAGGAGTCGCCTCCCTGCGCTCAGGACGTGACGCCGGGTTCTGGCTGCTGATGTTAAAGCTGCGCTCGGCAAAATATTTCATATTAAATGTTAAATGATTCCATGTAACGCGACGCAGTCGAGTAAACGCCGAGGAAGACAGGGCGGCCATGTTGCTTCTTTTCCTGTTGGATATGTTTGTGTATGTTCTAGCAGCCCTGCAGTGAGCACGTGTTGACATGATAGCTCTCATCCAGACTGAAATATCTCATCAGCTGTTGGAAGTAGTGGTTCAGATATTCATGGTCCCCAGAGGAGGAGTCCCGCTGACTTTCCCCGGGGCGCCACCGTGAGGGTGACGTCTCTGGATTTGAGATGTTGTCTTGACAGCTATAGGATTGTTTTCCAGTTGGTTTCAGGTTGAGAATAGTTTGTTGTTATAAGAGTGTTTGTCACCTTTTTAATTTAAAATCTTGATTAGACACAAGTTTTTATTTTTATTTTATTTCATTCCTCCCCGCCGGCGACAGTCAGAGCAGGAGCCATATTGTCAAAGTTCAAAGGTCAAGGTCACGGTGACCTCACAAAACATGATTTTGAACATGAACGCAAAATCTCGAGAACTCCTCAAAGGGAATCCCCTCAGATTTGGCACAAACATTCACTTGGACTCAAGGATGAACCGATTACACTTTGGTGGTCAAAGGTCAAGGGTCAAGGTGACCTCAGAAAACAATTATGACAGAATTTTACACTTGTTGTTGTTGTTGTTTTGATGCATTCAGTTAAAACCCAAGACAATACATGTGTGCAGTGTTGTGCAAAGGTTCAAGGCAGTGAAAATAAAGTGAGGATGCTTTCAAATATGATGCCATGAGTCGTTTTTATTTATCGATTATCGATACAAAGCGCTGTGCAGTATCTGCTGTGACCACCCTCCAGCTCCAGTTCTCCTCAGCACACACCTGCACTCAGTGTTTCGGGTTCTCGGCAGGTCGCTTGTTCCAGGGATCTTTGTCCTCTGTCTCTGCATGTGATCCCGCTGACTCCATGATGTGGAGGTCAGGACTCTGTGTGGACGGTTCTTAATGTCTCTGGCTGTTGTTTCGTGCTGCAGAATGAATACGAGACGGATCCGACGCCTCCTCATGTTTAGATTCTCATCCATCGAGGTGCCTCAAACGTTTCTACAGTAGGGGTTAGGCTGTGGTGCGCTCGTAGTCACATCTCCGTCCTGGATGTATCACATATTTAATGGCTGTGTTCAACACTTCACTCTCATTATCTGGGAAACTGTCCGCTGCTGTAATCACTCCAGTATGTGTAAGGGAGGTGCGTTTGGTAACAGTACCAACACGGCTGTGGAGTGAGTGTGTGCAGATGTGTCTGCGGCGCATGTGGTGCCCGTAGGTGTGTGTGCAGTGTCGGGCGGTGTAACATGGGCAGTGTGTGTGACCTTTGACCCTGAGCTGAGAAGAGAGGAAACTGTTGTTGTTGTTGTTGTTGTTGTTGTTGTTGGTATTGATATATCATCTGCTGATACTGGTGTTGCTGTAATGTTGGTTGTGACCTCTGTTGCCAAGGTAACCCCGTCTGCTGACACTGAGATGGTTGTGGAAGCAGAGGGTTGTTGAAGCTCTGTAGCCCTCCTCCTCCTCCTCCTCCTCCTGCTGCTCCTGCTCCTCCTGCTCCTCCTCGCCCTGTGCTCTCTCTCTCAGACAGGTGTCGGCGGATGGTGACGAAGGTGTTATCGCTGTGTTTCTCGGGCAACACCTCCAGGTGAAGGGTGGAGACGACCCCGGGAGGGCGGGGCAAGAAGGAGAGAGGGGTGAGGTTAGGAGTAAAGGAGGAAGGCAGGGAGAAAGACTTGACAAGTGGAGCTCTTTGAATCATCCGCCTTTTCTTGTTTTCATCTTGCTGCCTCTGCGACGACGTCTCTCCCGTCTCCTCCCGTCCGGCGCCGTCCTCTCCTCCACACACAGGCGAGCTCCTCTCTGTTTCAGGTGTTTCTGCTTCGACAGGCCCAGAGCAGCTGCTGCTGGAGGTAGACTCTGATTCGGACTCACAGTCCACCTCCGGACCAGAGTCCTCGGCTGAAGAGCTGGACTCCCCGTCGCCCCCCCACCGAGGCATGGAGCTGGCCTTCTGGTTGTAGCAGCCGGCACAGCGGGACAGGCCGAGGAACTCAGGGCCTGATCTGGACTGGACACAGAGGCAGATAAGTCAGACAGTCGGGCACATGGAAATATATATTTCACTATTACAGAATATAAACATCTACCTTTGGTTGTTTTGGACTGCCCTCGGACACAGACATGCTTCCTCCGTGTTGCTCTGTTCAGACAAAACAAAGCATGATTAAACTCTCCAGCAGGATGTGGCGGCAGGTTCCTGCTTCTCAAACGAAACTGAATATCTCAGGCTGTTAGACACGAGAACAAATGAGACATTTAAAGACATCGCTGTCATCATTTTTGACGTTTCATAAGATAAAAAATGAATGAATGAATGAATTAATGAATGAATTGAAAAAATCATCAGAAAATTGATCAATGATAATAAACTGTAGTTGCAGGGTTAAAAACTGTCAACAAATAGTGACTGCATGTCAGACTCCACTGTTTACTGATACACAAACACTATGGAATATACATATATATATATATATATATATATATATGTATTTATATTAAAAAAAGTACTTACCCATACCTCCGCTCTCTCCTCTTCAGGTCCAGGATTCAGCGACTGTCAGGTCGAGCCGACAGCTGCTTCACGTACCTGCGTCTGTTCATGTGAAGGAGTGTACACACCCAGGTGAGCGTACGTGTCTCCCAGTCATGTCTGTGCAGAGTGTACAGTCATCACTGTCAAAGACACAAAGATAGACACACACACACTCACACACACACACACACCCTCTGTAAACACACTCCAGGATCGTCCTCCGGGCCCCTCCACACAATAACACCACCCTCCCTGGTCCTGACTGTCACCACATTATTTGATTTATTCTGCTGTTGTTTTATTAGTTTTTTATATTTATTGACACACACTATTTAATACACAATACGAAACAAGCATACATTCACTTCAGTTTAAAATATGTTTTTTATTTATACAATGAAAAGTCCGACACAACCACACATCACCTCGTGCAGAGACACTTAAGGCATGAAAATCTCTCTGTCACTGGTTTGTCCAGGTTGAACTGGGCGTCAGTGAAAACATCTACGATAAAGAAAAATAAAATTCAGTCGTAATTCAGCAGTTTACTTCAGTTATTTGTTCCTCCTGTAAACAAGACGCTGAGCTCAAGAAGAAGGAATATTTGGACATTTTTGATGAGATGAGTTTATTCGCAGAGAAGTTTGATGACCACTCTCGTATCTGTGTGCGTCACATCAAGCTGCATTAGCTTAGCTTAGCACAAAGACTGGAAACAGGTGAATCTAAAGGTAACAAGATCCACCTACACGATTATGGATTATGTGCTGGATCAATACGAGAGAGGCATCAGTCTTCTCTTGCCAAGGAAGTGATGTATTGACCAAAAAGTGTTGCACTATTCCTTTAAAGAGACAAGTTTGTCCAAGATGCTGCTGTTGAGTCAAAACCATATTGTATTGTATATATTATATATTTGAGGAGAGAATTTACAGCAAATGTTCATTGTATTTTCATCTGCTCTCAATTTAACTGTTTACCAATTCATTTGTAGCTGTTTTAAGCTTTAGCTACAAAATCCAATTTACGTTTAAGTAAAATAATCTGACTGGAAAACAAATGATCCTGTGAAGATAAAAAATAATGATGAAATCACTAGTTATTTAACATCAGCAGCAGAACATGGAGCCAACATGTGCGGCTGAAACTGTCTCTGATCACAGACTGAGCTCTTGTTGTTTTTTTACTGGAAACGACCAGAAGCCTTTGGAGAAACATTTCCTCACAGTATTTAAGAGAAAGTGAAGGGATCAACAGTTTTTCCGCATGTTCAAGGCAAATCCTGAACACACACATTTTGGTAGAAGTAATACAAGAAAGAAGTCTTGTACGTTTACATACTGGTACTGTTTTATATAAGGCTGCAAAACATCCTTTAAAAAAATGAGACACAAACTAGTAACAATAACTGTTCGTTAAAAAAACAACAACATTAATTTCATTTTCACTGTTTTCCACCACAGTACCTTTGTCACTGTCGTCCTTTTTTTCAGAGCACAAACATTCAATAAAAAAAAAGGACTGGGTTGAACTCTAAAGTGCAAAACATACTTACTGTGAGGTTACGCAACTGAGTTAATTTTATTCTCTCTAATGACTGTTTGAAAGTGAAGTGAAAATACCTGAAAGATTCAGACTTTTAGGAAGTTTCATGTACGACAGCTGCGGTCAGAATCCACAGCATTTTGAACCTGCATGTTAATGTTAAGGTAAATAGAAATGCACTACATCATCAAAACATGGTTTTGGTCAAGGCTGACGTGGGAAGGAGTGAACTGGTTTAGGATGGGTTCAGCAGGTGACATCTCTCTCTTACAGGAAACAGACCCAAGATCAGTTTAATCCTCCAGGGTTTCGGACTCACCGCCAGGATTGTTTACTTCACGATTGTTTGTGTTCAGCTTGACGTCTTTTGCGTGTGTTTAAATATGTCACAAGACTTCAGAGGTGATTCATCAACACAGGAAATCAGATTCACGGGTGTTAGCTTTGCTGGCTGACACCTGTCAGTGTTTTCGATGCCCGGATTTTCTAGCTGCGCATCAAAAATCAAACATGCTAAGTTGTTTGCTTTGGCAGAGACAGGTAGAGCAGCTGACAACAATTAGCAAAAGACGTCATCTGAACCTCCTGTCAGTCACTTTAAGCTCTCATTCACGTTGGCCCTGCGAGCTCAGTGCACTGTGACTCAAGAGACTTTAAACATTTAAACTGATTAAACACACACAAAAAAAAAGCAACACATCCAGGTTCACACAAACGAAACGGCACGACCAAATTCAGTCAAGAAAAACAAATACTAAAGTGCTGCAAGTGGAACAATGAAACAAAACAAAGTTCCCAGGGAGACACTGAAGCCTGAGGAGCTCGTCCAGGCATGGAAGTTGTTCCTAGGGTTGGAGTTTGTACAGTTTCTTACTCCACACACAGAAAAATCTGAGTTAGAAAGTAAGAAAGTAAAAACTGAAACAAACGTCTGACTGATGTTCACGTGTTGCCAAACTGCTGCAGATATTTCTTTGTATTTATTTATTTATTTTTTTGTTCTCTTAAGTTGCAGTGTATTGAGCTTCCTGGGCCGCCGTACTTATTTCTTTTTCAGTGTCACGTTTGGATGGAATATCGTCACCAAAAGGCAAATAAATACTGAAGAAATACAAACATTAAAAGGCAGTAACTCGCGCACATTCACACGTGTCTGTGATTTACAGACTCTGTTCACCTGATCTGACTTGTCTTTGCAGAGCAGGTGAAAAACGTCCCAGCAGAAACAGAGAGCTGCAGATCAAACTGGAGTCTCGTCCTTCTCCTCACCCCAGTTTCAAAGACCAAAGCTCTGTTCTGGCTGAACTACGAGAAGGTTTGTTGGAAAAACAAAACAAAAAAAAAAATACAAAAAACAATGGCACATTTAATGTAGATCATTGCATTTGTGCAAACTTTGGCACCCAAGCTCCTCTGCTCTCTGCGTCTGTAAACTGCAACAGAGAGGAACTGGCCCTCAGGAGCCTGCGAAGGTGCCGCTCATCGGTCCTATTCATCCTCAGCTACACTCCCTCCTGGAAGAGGAAATGGAGAAGATGCTCCGGGGGGAAAGAAAGAAAAAAAAATCTGATGAGTTGTTGAACATGTGGGAAAGGCAGAAAATACTGACGCTGCTGTGACACGGTCGCCGGGTTTCGATGTCCCAACAACTCAAAAATCTCTGTACATTCTCAGGTCCATTTAAAACAGTGAACAATCATCTAAAACTGTCCAGAAAACAGGAATTCACAGTTATTTTATATATATATTCATACTGTGCCAGGGTGCTGCCTAATACCATCACAGTCATTATCTGATTGCCACTAACAAAGTCCACTAGATTAACTGGGGTTATCTGCTCACAGATTTCTCGAGGGGTTTGAGCGTCTGAAGTCTGACTCTGACGTGAGTCCATGGTGTGAATGTGGTGACTTGTTGATCCGTAGAGAAAGTTAAAGCGATGTGTACTTCTTGTCTTCTCTGTCTCTCCAGTGTGTGCTGTGCAACTTAAAGAAAGCCTTAAAGAAAAACTAATTATGATTCCAAAGTGCACGTGTTTGGCAGTCAGCTGACTTCAGAGAAAAAAGCACAAGAAGGACGTTCCTGGTAGAAGTCAAGTGTCGGCCGATTTAATAAAGATGACGTCAATATCTCACTGATATTGATCTTGTCATTGTTCTTGAGCCCTCACAGAGTTCAGAGGTCAGCAGGGTTCGGGTGGACGTCAGGTCTTCAGATGGACAGGTCGGTGTCTGTGTCGGTGGGTGTGGTCTTCGGGCTCGCGCTGCCTCCTCCTCCTCTCTCCTCGGGAATGGAGGACGGGTCACCGTTGAGACTGGGTAGCACACCTGGAACACACATCAGCTTTTACAGGTGAGTTGTGTCTTGAATCTGAACTTTGAAAGTCCTGGATGAAGTTGATAATTAATAAAGCAGATAGATCAATAATTACTCAGTGTAAATAGACTGAGTGGCTACTGTAGAAAAATGATTTCGCAAAAAATCTTTAAAGTTTGTTGTGGAAAGTAAATAATAATAAACTGATTATAATGTTACTCTAAGGATGAAGAACACCTAGCCAAACGAATGCAGTCTAATACAACAGTCCTGCAATAAATCATCCTCACATAAAGTTTATATGAGGTTATATAGTTAAATTTCAGGTGTACCTAATAAACTGGCAACTGAGAGTAAGTACAGGTAGCGCTGAATCTATAGTTTCGGAGAAAGGAACTGATATGTGGCCGTAAATACTGAGGAAAGTTCTTGGAAAGTGTTAATGCTAGTTTGGTTCTGATTACAGGTAAAAGGAGACACTGTTCACTTTGTACGTGCAGAAGTTAAATATCCACTCAGCTGATAGTTAGTATAGTTCCTGAAATATAACAACTTAAAAGCTTTTACAAATATGTGAGTCCTTTATTCTCTCAGAACATTGTCAATTTCTCTTTATTTAGTGCCAAATTACATAAGCTTCTTCCAGGAACCTTACTAGGAAATTATGAAGAATTTACAGGACTCATAAAATAAAGTGTTACTGTACGTACGCAATAAAAATGTCTTACGTTCAGTATCATAAACAGAGCTGTCGGAGCATGTCCTGTTCCTGCGCTGGCTCGTCTTTTGACCTGCGCTCACGTACTCCTTCAGCACACCTGACCTGAGGAAAGAAAAGTGATAAAAGCTCAAATAGGAAACTTTCGTAATTAGTGTGTCGGCCGCTTCATTTAAGACATCTGCCAGGAAATAAATTATACTATATAGTTTTTTTCTTTACAGTAATAAATAAAACACAGACGTCAATTTCAAAATACATAATGAAAACACAGAGAAATGTTTTACAGATTATATCCTAAAGGAATTCCCTCACCCTTTAATTTATGAACAACACAAATGATTGTTTGTTTATTTCCACTCTTTCTTATTGAAAAAACAGTTTACTGTGATTGTGAGCAAGTCTCAGAGATCAGTTCAAGACTTTTCCTATCTGTCCCCAGCGGCCTGTTGTCTCATAAACTGTCCATGACATCTGCCCTTTGTTCCAAATATCACAGAAACATTTTATTCCGCAAAGTGACGTAAAGGAGGAGGAAAGAAAAAAGGAGCTTTGGATCCTCCCTGTCCTTTAATCAGCACATTTTGAGACATTCGGAGGTGGAGGAGTCAAAGAAACCACGTAGTTTCTCGTTCACCTGACCTTGGCTTGTTCTCTTTCATCAGCTGCAGAGCAGTTATTACCGTTTGGTTGTAAAGGTCAGTGAAAATGTTAATTCATTTTCTCATGTCGTGTGGACGTTAACCACAACTTACCAGAAAACCCAACATGTAACCACGAAAGGACAAGAAACGAGTATAATTAAAGTAATATAATATATAATTAATCAGTGTTTGCATACATGTCTGCTGTCAGGGTGGAAGACCACGTGACATTAGTTATGAAATTCCCTGCTGGATCATGTGATACTGAACCTGCTGTATTTATTAACAGAACGGCTGTCGTGTGACACTAAATCAGATTTCTGTGATATTAAAACTCACTATTACAACAAATCTGTCCATTAGTCTTCAAGCCTTCTTTCAATTAGTTTTTTTTTGGTTGTTTAAGATGCTGCAATGCTGCCCCCTGGAGGCCACAGTGAATAATAACTCAGGGATTCAGTAAACGTGACAGCTTTAAAGTCTGAGTGCAGTCTGTTCTTATACAGACAGCAGGTGGACAAAGTTTAACAGGAATATCTTTTTAATTTGGGGTAATCCTACTTGGTGTTTTTGTTTTTAAATGGTATCATTATCAAACATTTTATTAATTGTTATTGTTTATTTTAATTTCATTTCTGTTTTTGATCCAGTTCAGTAACATAAAAAACACTCTGGGCTACATCTTTGCATGAAAACTGCAATACAAATAAAGTTAATTCATTTTCTTAGTTAACTTTATTCATGTTAATTGATTCATTCTAATGGGCAGTGGTTGGAGCCTCAGTAACAAAGTGTGTGTATGTGTGTGTGTGTGTGTGTGTGTGTGTGTGTGTGTGTGTGTGTGTGTGTGTGTGTGTTTCAACTCACCTGTCAAAGCTGTATGTTCCAGGGTGACTGATCGACCTCTTCATCTGGACAGAAAGACAGAAGCAGAGACATGTTTACAGATTCCTACAGTTCTGCAGCTTCCTGAATGTCTCATTAGCAGTAAAAATTTTTTTATTAATTTCTGCATGGTGAGCCGCCCACAGCTAAACCTTTATTTCTTCTAAACGGCTCTGAAAGCAGAACACAGTGTCATTTACACTTCCATCCAATTTATTAAAATCTAATTTATTTCCTCTAATCATTTTTGCAATGCACATCTATTTAATTAGATTTCTTTTTGGCATTTTTGGGATTGTTTTCTTGCAGAGACCTCCAGGGCATCAGGCAGTTGATGGACATGAAAACACCAACAGAGAAATAACAATAAAACACAAACATAGTTAGAATTGAATGTAGTTTGTGTAATATTCAGGTCTGTGGAAATGATTTTCATACTGTCTAAAAACCACCACCACCACCAGGAATATTGTAAAGAAGAGGGACAACTTCAGCGACTGGTGAAGAGGGTGGCGTCTGGAAAGTAACTACACTGAGAAGATGCCATTAAGTTTCTTTTTTCACTGTCAACAGGACACATTTCCTTGTAGACTTAATGTACTTTTTGGATTTAGCAGGAGAGAGTGTAACTACCCTTTCAGGAGGTCGGAGGTCAGGGGTCAAACTCTGGTTAGCCAGGGTCATACATTCCTCCAAAGTCCTGATAAAAGTTGCACAGGTCGCACTGAGGAGAGAGGCCTGAAGACGGAGAGAATAATTAATATTCCTATAACGAGTGTTTTTTTCTTATTGCACCAGGACCCAAATAATATGAATTACATTTCTTTACATGTACAACTTGTTGGAATGTCAACTGACTAATCAATTAATCAACTAACCATTTAAGTTAAACAGTACATGACATATACCGTATATACATAAATGACCCTGCTATAAAACATAGTGAATGTTAATTATGATTTTTTTTAACTAAACGATCAAAACAAAAACATTTATAACAATCAAAAGAAAGGAATATTTTGCTGTGTTGTTTACCTCAGAAGTGGGCGTGGTGTCTGTGTCGGCGGTGTGCTGTGATTGGATGGTTTGGACCTGCTGGACGAGGAGGTCGCAGTACAGACGAAGTTCAGACATCTTCGTCTTCAGACAGTCTGGACCTGGGGATGGACAAACGTGGAGAAATATTAATTTGGAATATACTGTACATGGAATATACAAATTACTGAACAATAACATGTTATTTTTCACAGGTTTTCACAGGTTTCTGCAGCTTTTTACAACCATTTCAACACCATATAAAGTGCAATTTAATACATTTTTTCTTGGTCACATGGGTCAAAGAATGATAGAAAACCAGCGGGGACAATGAGACACACAATGTACAATATGCCACAACTGATTAACCTTACCATTTTCGCTGTTATAATTAGCTGCTTGGACTGAAATTATTACTTTCTCAGCGCACAAGTGAGAAATAAAAACAAGCTTCTGCTTAACAGCATGGCACACACTGTATTTATGAATAAATATTTCACCACAGGTAATGTCATCACAATTTTTTAATCAAAAGCAAAATAATCCACTTTAAATTTACATAATAACACACTATTACAGACATGCTGGTAGTTCGTGCAGATTTTTTATATAAACTGTGTGTACCTCTGTGATTGTGACTTTCCAGTGTTCCAGCTTTGGACGAGCCTAAAGCCACCAGCCACCTCTGTCTCTCCGCAGCGTTCACAGCTCGGACGTAGAAATGCTGCTCGCCGGGGATGATCAACTCCAGACGCGTGGGATCCGTCGGATGAACTGAAACGTAAAGAAATATTAACGGGGTTTGATGGATGTGTGGAAATCATCTAACAGGGATTTCAAACAGCACACTAACCTTTAATGTCACACACAGACATCTTGATGGATCCTTTGCTTCCTTTACCGACGTCGTCCTCGCTGTCGTAATAAGAGATGACTCCATTCTCTAAGACAAACCAGCGTGGCTGCCAACCTGAGGAAAGACAACAAAGTGTTAATAACTGTTTTTTTCATCAAAAGAATGATTGAAACAAGGGTGTAGGTTTGGTCTCAACATTGGTAGGGACGCAACAAGCCCTCCAAAAACAAAGGGAGTGGCTTTTTAATGCCATGAACTGAAAGGTTTATAAATGTATAACATCTGAATTTTCATTCATTCAGGAATGCCCATATGCAAATGTAATATATGTCATAGTATAGTATGGCATAAAAAGTCAAGTATAGTTGTCATGGCCCTGAAAAATCTCTAGGTGGTTTTCTCTCTCCCTTGTGTTTCTGTGTTTTTCCTGTCTTGTCTCTGTGTATGAAGTTTTGCTAACTTGCTCTCTACTGTGTTAAATGCTCTCGAGCCAGCCTCCAGCAAGTCTTTGCCTGTCACACCACCTCACCAGAAGATCCTCCAGCCTCCATTCCAACCACGCCACCAGCCGAACTCTGCCACTGCCTTCAACCCCCCTCTATCAAAATGTCACATTATATTGAGGCATGAAAAAAAATTGTAGTATATTAAGGCATAAAAAGTCACAAAAAAGTCATAGTATAGTAAGGCATAAAAACATCAAATATAGTAAGGCATAAAAAGTGAAAAAAGTCAGTATAGTAAGGCATAAAAAGTCATGAAAATGTCGTAGTATAGTAAGGCATAAAAAGTCATAGTATAGTAAGGCATAAAAAGTAAAAAAAAACGTCATAGTAAAGGCATAAAAAATCATGAAGTCAGTATAGTGTGGCATAAAAAGTAAAAAAAAAAAATCATAGTATAGTAAGGCATAAAAAGTCATAGTATAGTAAAGGCATAAAAAGTAAAAAAAAACATCATATTATAATAAGGCATAAAAAGTCATGAAAAAGTGATAGTATAATAAGGCATAAAAAGTCAGTATAGTGAGGCATAAAAAGTAAAAAAAAAAAATCATAGTATAGTAAGGCATAAAAAGTCATAGTATAGTAAGGCATAAAAAGTCATAAAAACGTCATAGTATAGTAAGGCATAAAAAGTCATAAAAACGTCATAGTATAGTAAGGCATAAAAAGTCATAAAAACGTCATAGTATAGTAAGGCATAAAAAGTCATAAAAACGTCATAGTATAGTAAGGCATAAAAAGTCATAAAAACGTCATAGTATAGTAAGGCATAAAAAGTCATAAAAACGTCATAGTATAGTAAGGCATAAAAAGTCATAAAAACGTCATAGTATAGTAAGGCATAAAAAGTCATAAAAACGTCATAGTATAGTAAGGCATAAAAAGTCATAAAAACGTCATAGTATAGTAAGGCATAAAAAGTCATAAAAACGTCATAGTATAGTAAGGCATAAAAAGTCATAAAAACGTCATAGTATAGTAAGGCATAAAAAGTCATAAAAACGTCATAGTATAGTAAGGCATAAAAAGTCATAAAAACGTCATAGTATAGTAAGGCATAAAAAGTCATAAAAACGTCATAGTATAGTAAGGCATAAAAAGTCATTAAAACGTCATAGTATAGTAAGGCATAAAAAGTCATAAAAACGTCATAGTATAGTAAGGCATAAAAAGTCATAAAAACGTCATAGTATAGTAAGGCATAAAAAGTCATAAAAACGTCATAGTATAGTAAGGCATAAAAAGTCATAAAAACGTCATAGTATAGTAAGGCAGAAAAAGTCATAGTATAGTAAGGCATAAAAAGTCATAGTATAGTAAGGCATAAAAAGTCATAAAAACGTCATAGTATAGTAAGGCATAAAAAGTCATGAAAATGTCATAGTATAGTAAGGCATAAAAAGTCATAGTATAGTAAGGCATAAAAAGTCATGAAAATGTCATAGTTTAGTAAGGCATAAAAAGTCATAGTATAGTAAAGCATCAAAAGTAAAAAAAACGTCATAGTATAGTAAGGCATAAAAAGTCACAAAAACGTCATAGTATAGTAAGGCATAAAAAGTCATAGTATAATAAGGCATAAAAAGTCATGAAAATGTCATAGTATAGTAAGGCATAAAAAGTCACAAAAATGTCATAGTATAGTAAGGCATAAAATGTCAAAAAAACGTCATAGTATAGTAAGGCATAAAAAGTCACAAAAACGTCATAGTATAGTAAGGCATAAAAAGTCATAGTATAATAAGGCATAAAAAGTCATGAAAATGTCATAGTATAGTAAGGCATAAAAAGTCACAAAAATGTCATAGTATAGTAAGGCATAAAATGTCAAAAAAACGTCATAGTATAGTAAGGCATAAAAAGTCACAAAAATGTCATAGTATAGTAAGGCATAAAAAGTCAAAAAAACGTCATAGTATAGTAAGGCATAAAAAGTCATGAAAATGTCATAGTATAGCTAAAGCATCAAAAAGTAAAAAAAAACGTCATAGTATTAGGTAAGGCATAAAAAAGAGAGTCAAGACAAAACGTCAATGTAATTGTAAGGCTAAGAAGTCATAAAATGTCCATAGTATAGTAAGCATAAAAAAAGTCAAAAAAACGTCTATATAGTAAGGCATAAAAAGATCATTGAAAATGTCATAAAATAGTAAGGCATAAAAAGTCAAAAAAACGTCATAGTATAGTAAGGCATAAAAAGTCACAAAAATGTCATAGTATAGTAAGGCATAAAAAGTCATAGTATAATAAGGCATGAAAAATCATGAAAACGTCATAGTGTAGTAAGGTATAAAAACATCATAGTATAGTATGGCATAAAAAGTTAGGTATATTTGTCACGGCCCCGCCAGAATCTCTACGTGTTTCTGTGATTTTCCCCTGTCGTGTTTCTGTGTATGCCGTTTTGCTAACTTGTTCTCTACTGTGTTAAATGTTTTCGAGCCAGCCTCCAGCAAGTCTCTGCCTGTCACACAATCTCACCAGAAGATCCTCTAGCCTCCCTTCAAGCCACGCCACCAGCGGAACTCTGCCACTGCCAGTCTCAATCCCATACAAACCACCAGCCTCCCCTTCCCTCATCGTTTTTTTGATTAAAACCACTGTTATCCCCTCACCTCTGTGTGTGTGTCTGCTTCAGGTCACGAAAATGACAGAATTGTTACGATAGTTAGTCAAAAAGTCACATTAAATGAAGGCATAAAAAGTCAAAAAAGGACACAGTATTGTAAGGCATAAAAAAGTCATGTTATAGTAAGGCAGGAAAAGTCACAAAAAAGTCATAGTATAGTATGGCATGAAAAGTCAAGTATAGTTGTCATGGCCCTGCCAAATCTTTAGGCGGTTTTCTCTCTCCCTTGTGTTTCTGTGATTTTCCCCTTTCGTTTCTCGGTGTATGACATTTTGCCAACTTGTTCTCTACTGCGTTAAATGCACTCGAGCCAGCTTCCAGCAAGTCTTTGCCTGTCAAACATTCTCACCAGAAAATCCTCCCGCCTCCATTCCAACCACACCACCAGCGGAACTCTGCCACTGTTTTCATTAAAACCAATGTTATCCCCTCACTGTGTGTGTGTCTGCTTCGGGTCAGGAAACTGATAAAATTGTTACAATATTGAGTCAAAAAGTCACAGTATAGTAGGGCATTAAATGTCAAAAAACATCACAGTATAGTAAGGCATAAAAAGTCAAAAAAACGTCATAGTATGGTAAGGCATAAAAAGTCATGAAAATGCCATAGTGTAGTAAGGCATAAAAAGTCGAAGTACAGTAAGGCATAAAAACAACACAGTATAGTAAGGCATAAAAAGTCATGAAAATGTCATTGTATAGTAAGGCATAAAAAGTCACAGTATAATAAGGCATAAAAAGTAAAAAAAAAAACGTCATAGTATAATAAGGCATAAAAAGTCATGAAAATGTCATAGTTTAGTAAGGCATAAAAAGTCATAGTATAGTAAGGCATAAAAATTCACAAGAACGTCATAGTATAGTAAGGCATAAAAAGT